TGATGTAAAGATCGGCCAAAATTTATCACCCTTGTATAAAAAATGTGAAATACTGAAAATCGCGGATAGGCATAAATTGAAAATTTTAGTTCAGACACACAAAATCTTGTATAAAAATAGTCCAGAGTACTTGAACGACTACGTTACTACAATGTATGATGTAAATTTGCTCGGGCGCACGAGAGCGCACCGAATGAAATTGCTTGCACCGTTTGTTAGTGTGGAGGTACCGGAAAACTGTTTTCAAGTTCAATGCTATAGGCTTTGGAATGAGTTACCATCAAATCTATGTTTGAACGAAAATGTTAATTTTTTTAAATCAGTACTGAAAAAGCAATATTTTGAGCAATATTAATGTTTTCTCTCTCTCTTGTTTTAAAATTTTTGTTTTGCATTTATTTGGATGAGTTCATGTATGGGGCATAGTTGCCCTAATTTCGAACCCAATAAACACTTCTTGAAACTAATAACCTCTCTGATACCTGCCGTGAAATTGCCTCCGTCTGTTATCTGTACCGCTCGACTCATTTTCTGCATTCTTCTCGTAGAAAAGGACCTTCCGCTCAAGCTCCCTCAGCTTAGCCTCGTGCTTCTCATCTCTCTCCTTCCAGGACAAACGTTCTTAATCTTATAAAATTACCTTATTTTCTGTACTTTGAGATTGCCAAAAAAATATGTGAAATTTTTCTTATATGAAAATTTTGTACCAGTCGCATGCTAATGGAATGTGTGCTATATTTTAAAAGCAATAAAAATCCCTAATTTAGAGGCAGAAAAAATGCTGAAAAACCGATTCACTTTATTTCAATTTTGTCCTGCACTTAAGGCTGCAATAATTAATTGTACCTACAAAGCAGAGGGCGCTTCGCACTGGGCAGCTGTTGTTCCAAGAAAATATAATTTTTCATTAATATATGATGAGACGTTAATCCAATTAATTTTTCCAAAATGGTGAGTAACGTGTAACGCTTTTTTACTAATGTATAATTAATTTAGCCTATTAATGATAAAAAAAAATTGCATTAATTTATAATTAATTTTTAATTAAATTTCTTATATCATTTTTACGGTAGGGGTTTAAATTTTTTTGCTGCAAAAAATTATCTTCCCTCGTAATCGCACAAAATAAATATTGTCTGGGCGATCTATCCAGTGACTTCTCAGATCATGGATCTATTAAGATTTGTTCTTAATAAATCCATACTTCTCAGATTCAGAAAAGTAATGCAACGCTTGGCAACGTTGTTGGTATTGGCACGTCATGTGGGATCCTGTCATTCCTGTCTGCCAAAGCGAGACTGCGAGGCGCTATATATGTGTCATCGCTGCTCATGCTGAGCATTCTAAGCCCGCTTACGAACAAAGAAGGTCATTGCATGGTCACCAGGGCATTCAAAATTGAAGGTATGTATTTGTAGCGATTGATAAATCTCATAATAGACAATGAGCCAAAATTTTATGTCATAACAAAAATTTATGAATATCATCTGGCGTATTTTTCAATACACCTGCGCCTCGAGAGCATTTTTTTTTTTTATATAAATCATATAAATAAACTGTTATTTTCCATATTGATTGAGATTTTTTGCTGTCGGCGGTTGAATCTTTTTTCACCGCGTGTTTTTCACTCTGATAAATTGAAACAAAAATTATTTATGTATACAAATCGTATGGCTCCAACGGGACAATAATTCAGCAGTGTCTGTTACTAGCTGAGATTTTTTATTATTTGTGAAATTTTGACAATCTTGGAAAACATTCCAACTCCAACATTCCGCAAAGCGTGCATCGCATCGCACTCTGATTGCCTGGCAAATATCTAACATTCCATCAGGTCTAAATTCTGCCCATACCTGTTACTCCTGTAGTGTTCATGGAGATTTCGTCGGCTACTCATATTATAATAAATAAAACTAATAAAATAATTTTTTTAAATTTTTGCCTTGTGAATTTATATGAAATATACACTTATAAAAAATTAATGGTATAATATGTGTTCAGTAAAATTTCTCTAACGTCCTTTTAAACTAATAATACTTGATAAATATTAATTATAAACTTGACAATTATGGTGATTGCTGTAATTTATTCTGTGGTAGAACATTTTTTCCTTTAATTTACATAATTAAAATATTTGACAAATTTTAAAAATGATTTTCCTAATTAAAACAGAAATTTAATGATCTATTTGGATAAACTTTGCAATTTTAAAACGGCAGTGATGAAAGGATTTTTTTTTAAAAATATATGCTTTTATATCTTTTAAATTTCTTAATAATGAAGAATTAAATTAATTTTTATAGCGTATCTGTCTAATTAAAAATAAAAATTTTTGTTCACATTGAAAATAAAGGAATCCCGCCGTAGGGCCGAAAAGAACAAGGCTGAAAATGGCTGAGCGGAACAAGGCCGAAAGCTGAAAAATAACCGATAATCGAGATGCGTTCAGCTCAGCAAACCTTCAAACTGAGGACCCGATAAAATTTTAATATGTCTCTTTTGAACATTAAAGTTATTTCCTATAAAATTTGATAAAATCGAAGTTATAAGTAAAAAAAGGAATCCGAAAATATTGAGATGAAATAGATAAATAAATTTATTCAACTTTTCCGAACTTTTCAATTAAATTTTTCTTGCTTTTGGAGGACATGATCTTCACAGGAACGTATCCTCCAGCACGATATTATTTAAAACACTTTTTACCATTTTTTATTTCCAAATGGTTGCCAAAAATTTTACGTTTGAATGAAATAAAATTGTTGGGAAAAGGGAAACATTGCATAATTAATATATGATGAATAAATGCAACATTTGAACCAGACTGGGGTGGCCTTTTCACATCCTGTTTTAGGTCCAATTCAATTCTATATCACGTTTCTTGTTAAAAACTATGGCATATTTCAATAAAATAAACAAAATATAAAATAAAATTATAATATATTCGCTGTTGAGCGTGTGCTGCTGGAATCCCTCCAAATATTATTCACTTCAAAAATAAAATAAAAATCGTTATCCGGCCTTAATGTTTTGGGGGCATTAAATTTTTTTAAACTAATGCAAAAATTATAGTAAATTTTCAAAATGTGTTCATATCACTGAACTCGATCCCTTGTGCCAATTATTTGATCAAATTGCATAATGCAATAGATACTTAAAATTATTATTTTTAAATCTCTTGAAACATAATTCTCCTGTTATATTGGTCTTTTTGTAAATAAACTTTTGAAGAAAAACTATAAGTTTTAATTTAATTTACTGATTTAACAGAATGCTGTATTATTTTTTCCCGATAATTTATGAATATCGAGTGAATATCATTTATAATTTTTTTCTAATACACCTGCGTGCTTCTAGAGCGTCAAAAGCATTTTTTTTTTTATTAATAAATTACAAACATTTTGTATTTTCCAAATTTATTGAAAGTTGCTGTCGGGGGCTGATTTTTTTTACACCGTTTTTCAATCTGATTGAATGGAAATTTTGCATATAAATCGTATAATTTCAAAATATTTGCAATAATTACAGCAGTCAATTTGTCAATTATGCAATTTGCTAGCTGATTTTGAAATACTCGTGAGATTTGGGCACATATTCCACATTCTTTCTCTTCGAAGTGATCAAGGTTTTTAAAGCACAAAAGTTAGGTGATGTTCTCTTGGAAATGGGAGCAGTCAATAAGACGGAACATTTATTTATTTATATATATAATACATACATTTATAAACGTTTTATTTGTTTTAATTTGTCTATTTATTTACGTATATTTATTCACTTGCAAAAGATCAAGAGAGGAATGAGAGCAAGAGGAAAATGAACATGATGGAAGACCAGAAGCTCTCCGAGACCTCCTTTGAGCCTGCATCACTCTCAGCAGAAATGTTTCTCTTCACTACGAGTTTGTACATAAATTTTTAAATTTTACAAAGAAGCAATCTCATTTGTTTAAAATTTTCTCAGGTCATGATTGATAAAAATCTGGGACTTTCTTCTCAGAGAGACCGTCTGGTATTAAAACGATCCAAGGAACGTTCCGCAACGCTTTTGGCATAAAGCACCTTACCAAAATGTCATTGATTCAAATTGATAAAGAATACTGCGTTATGGAGCAAACCATTCGAGATGCACTATTTGGTAGGCTGGGAAAAATTTTGATTTTTATTCGACTTTATTATTGACTGATTATTCATTTATTTAGTGCACGTAGACAAGGTGGCTGAGAGGAAGAAGTGGCCGAAGCTAACCAAAGAGAAAGGCCCAGAAACATCTCAGCAGCCTGCTCTCTTCTCTAAGGCGCTATCGTCTTGGAGCACTAGCCAAGCACGAGGCTCAAACTTTCAGGTACTTCCTTAAAAGTTAACTAATAACACAATCTACATAATAATATTTTATTTTAGGAGCCCCAAACCAGTAAATCCCATGGACTTGGTTTTGGAAAACCCTAAAGACAAGGAAGACAATACGTTGAGGGTTTATGGGAGCCTTGTTTCTTCATCGGGAGAATTGAGTGAGTGAAAAAACCGGGACTTTGTTCTAAAGTGGTACGAAATTTGCTTTTTCCAACTATCAATGTTATTTAAATAGCACTTCAATGTAATTTTCCCTTCATTATTCTGTTTCTGCTCCATATTTTGTATGCGTTTTATGAAATATAATGTTGTGTTGTGTGATTCAGGCTTTAGTGCCATGTTTTCTTGTATAGTTGCTTTAAGTCGGTATATACATATAATATAACTACTTCATTGACTTGTAATTATTGCGTAATAATAACAAAAAGAAAAGCAATAAAATAAATTTTGAAAGCAAAAGATCTAATAATTTAAGTTGATCTTTTTTTAACCTTGGTTTCTCTTTATCTAAATTTGAATAATTAAGTCTGTTTAGCTTGTTGCATTAAAATTAATAGTTCTCTCAAAAGTTTGAGTGCAAAATAAATGTTAAATATTTCAAGAAACGTTTCTCATATGTTTATAGAAATTGCGTGCTAAAATATTTAATTCCTCTCTACTTTCTTTTATGAATTTCAAAGCCTGCGAATAATGTTTTTCTTAAATTTTTGTATTTATATTGCTTTCAATATTTCATAAAAAAATTAAAAATTAATTTTCATACTTGTTTAATTTCCTCATTCCTGCCGCGAAGAGACGAAGATGGTCCTTATTATAAAAGTATATACTGTGCACCTCTATTACAATACGTCTGCTGATTTAGAGACAATTCTTTCAATATCACACAATTTAATAATGAGGTTGTCCAGGAAGTCCGCCTCCAGGTTCAAGGTGATGAGCATTGCTTTAAGAATTTTCGAACTCTTTTTGGCAACAAATCTCTGAGGCTCGGAATAACTTGAGAGCAACCTAATTAATTGAATTTGTTATTGATCGTAAGAAACATAAGCCATATCAAACAAAACTTACAATTGTAACAAAATTAAGCCCATGAGATTCCACTCTTGAGGCTTCATCATGATGTTCTTTGGTGACAATTCAAATGTATCAGTTAATTTTTGCAACTTCAGCCCCAAGTCCGGAAGGTTTAATTTCAATATATCAGCGACCTCGGGAACTCTGTAAATTAAAGTAACTTTCTTTTTTAATACCTTTTCTGATTTATAATTAAATTTTCTTACACTTTCTCTAAACGAGCTAGGATAATTTTCTGTCTTGTTCGTCTCTGCTCGTATCGGTCTATGGTGGGAAGAATTGCACCAACTTTTGAAGCTTCTCCTCCGACCGTGTGACTTGTTTTTCCTTTGAAAAAACCTTCCACCTTCATCTGAAGAGTTGAATGCATTTCTGTTTGGTTTGTATCTCCAGCAGCTTGATCCATCTCCTTGCAAAGATGAATTAGCTCATTTTCCACTGTCGGTATCCACTCGGGCCTACTGCTTTGCAAAGCAAGTACATCTATTTTCTCTCTGAGCTGAATGAGCATTTTTTCAGGACCAATGATGAACCGAAGTGTATCAAGAGAGAACCAGTCTGTGACGAAGGCCACCACTTTTGCTGCATCAAACTTTACAGATTCTGGTTTGACATTTGTGGGCAATTTCTCACTTCGATGTGCCACTTTTCTTATCACTTCCAATTGCTCCACCTTTTCCTCTGCCAGTGCAGGCTCTTCACTTGGCTTTTCAATCACTTCTTGTGTTTTTGGCTGCTTTGGTGCGCGAGGAATTTCGTAAAGTGACAAATCGGGAGTGCCTCCGTTTGCCCAGCATGTTGTAGTCGTCGACTTTGGCACAACCAGCTCTTTCTTCCTTTCAGGCTCAACTATCACTTCCATCGACTTATTCTGATCTTCAATGTTTGCCTCTTTAATCTCCAGCAAGTTGTAGTCGAAAATTCCGTCGTCCTGGTACTGCTCCAGCGAGGTAAATGCAAACGAGCTGATGGTGCTGCGTGTATGTTCTCCGACTTTTTTATCACTCAATTTTAATTTGTCAACTTCCATTGCTATTTCTTCACCAGCCTTGCCAGAATTCCCAACACGGGTAAGTAGGTGGTAATCATTTTGGACTTCGCGGAACCAAACTGGACATGTTGAAATTTGATCCTTTAAGTAGCTCGATGCTTTGTAGCACCAGTTACTGCAGAAGTTCTAAAAAATATGAACATTTTTAAATGATAAAACAGGAATTATTTTATTTTTACTTTTCTGTCAGTTAAGTCGTAAACTTTGTTTGTAGCTGTAGAGATGTGGCACTGCTTCTTAGGCGCTGGAGGTAAATCACTGCTACAAATAGGGTATCCACAAATTTTGATAATAGCTCGTTCCACAATGACATCCTCATAGTCTGATTGTGAAATATAAGAAACCTAAAACATGAATATGTGTGTATTATTATTAAAAAGAAATTTTACGAACTGATTTGTCTCTTACACTTTGTAGCAAAATTTGCTCAGATATTTCTCTCTCCAAGAGCTGTTCCACAATTTGCTTGGATCGCTTGAAACACTCCTTCTTGTATTGCAAGGAAACTTCAAGCTGCTCCTTCTTTTTAGTGCTACAAACACAGTCATTTTTAAGAATAATACAATAATGTAATTAAATTTTAGCTCACGTCGATTCTTTGGCCGAATCTCTATATTTCAGGTCTCCCAAATTCTGATCTGAAGGTGGCATAAGAGTCACAGTCTTCTTATTTCTATAATTTAGAAAACAAGAATTCAAGCATTGAATGAACCTTCAAATTTTTGTGCAACATTTGGGACGTTGACGGATGTGACAGAAATAAAGAAAATTATCAAAATAGAAATAATAGAAATATTTATGGCTAATAACCGCTAATAACAATTCATATAACAAAAAGTTCTTATTGGAATATGCAATTTATTTTGTGGGGCACTGCAACTGTCCTAAAAACTTATCGAACTTAGTTAATTGCACGGGTTAAATATGTACATCAAACACTTTTAATGCTTTAAAAACTTGAAGCAAAAGTAATGTTATTGTATAGGATTTGGAAAAAACTACATAGTGCGTTTAAAAAAAAATCAGTTTCAGAACATGAATAAGTACATTATACTTCTTATACATTGTAAAACCTTACATAGACTGAGGAAACACCATTCTGTCCATAAGTGTGCGATGCAAAAGCCTTTTCTTTCTATTTAAATCGAATGTATCGGTTTTCCTTCTCTCTTATTCCTGTTGGCAAATTTTTGCTTGGAATTTGAAGCTGTGAATGCAGAACTGTTCTCAAGAAGCACCTTAATCAACTGAAAAAGTGCCTTCGTGCTCTATTTCTCTGCGTTTTGTTTACGATTGTTGTTGACGATGTACACGCCCCCATGGGTGTGTTTCTTTTTGTTTTGGCCAACTTCGCCAAGAATCCCCATTTTTGGGGTGGGGGAACTTGGCCAGCGCTTTAAAAAAACAGCCGCCAGAAGTTATTGCGAGCGCCACCAAAATTCCAGTGGCCATTTTAGAAAGTACCTCTGCTGACTACTTGACAAGCAGCAGCTAAATTCATTTTAAATTTTTTTATGTCATTGAGAGAGATTAATTTTACTTACTCACATGGGTTATATAAAAGCTAGTTTCATATTTTATTTCTCTAATTATTTAACTCAATCAACTAACAAAAAAAAAAAAAAAAAAAATGGAAATTGTGGGTCACAGAGGAGAGTTTATTATAGCAACCTGTCAAAATTAATGCAAGTTTTAATTAATTTAATTATTAAACATCTTAAAAGGCGAAGAAAATTGTTGATCATTAAAAGACCTCAAAGACACTAAGATTGTCCGAAGAAAACTCATACATTATAGAAAATACATATCAGGCACCCAAAAAATGGATCAAAATTAAAGATTAATTGATTTTCTGAGAAATGTTTAGTATAACATATAACATACACAATTATTACACATACAAACGATAAAAGTGCTGACTGCGAAAGTCGCGAATAAAAGTCATCGGTAATTCATTGAATATAGTAACAAAAAGGTAAAAAAAATTACTAAGTTATGGTCGGTTAGTCCAAATTTGGGGCAAATAGCGCAAAAGTTGTCTCGGAAATAATATTAACGCTACGAATTAATAGGAAAATTTTGTTTAACTGAAGATTACACTAATCAAAAACTTGGAATCGTAAAATTAAGTCGCTAATTATGTTTTGTGGGAAACAACAAGTAAATAACAAAAAATACACATGAGTGGGCGGAACACATTTCCTTATTTTTCCATTTTCGTTTGTCACTTGTTATTAATTCTTGGCGGAGTTGGCTGCTTTGCACGGCAAGATCGCCAAGAGTCCTCACACTAGCAACAGCGCCACTGAGCGCGAACTAACGTCAGGGGAGGGGACTTTTGGTGTATCTTGGCGTTTAAAAAAACAGCCGCCAAGAGTCCCGCCAACTTGGCCAAGTTTTTCTCCTTTAAAGAAACACAGCCCATGTTACAATGTGAGTACGAAAGGGAGATCCAACTAGACTTTTCGTTCTCAGATTTAAATCCAATATATATATATATATATATATATATATATATATATATATATATATATATATATATATATATATATATATATATATATATATATATATATATATATATATATATATATATATATATATATATATATATATATATATATATATATATATATATATATATATATATATATATATATATATATATATATATATATATATATATATATATATATATATATATATATATATATATATATATATATATATATATATATATATATATATATATATATATATATATATATATCACCAGAAGAAATAACATTTGATGTGTCTAATGCAAAGCTCAAGTGGAAATAACAGTCATTTATCAGTTTTTCACGTTGTTCCAATGTATGCTCCTCTGTTGAAACCCCACCCGTCCCACCCCAACACCCAACATTGACCCAACACCCCATGTTGACCCCATGCCAACGTGCAAAATATCGAGAGGAGGTTTATCGAGAAGAGGTTTTCGACAAAAAGCTCCTTGAAATTTTCGACCTTGGCTTAGTTTTGCAGCTTTGCGCCTTTGCGCCGACCGGTTGCTCCGACGTTATGAACAAACACATCTCCATTTAATTTCGCAGCCGTGAATTGCAAGAACGAGGCAAATTGTGCGTTGTCTCCGGTCTGCGGCACTTGAGCGACGTTTCGGCCGTCGATTAGCGAGTGCGGGCGTCGAATCGGAGGTGCCGTCGTGCGCTGAACAGGCGAAAAGTGCCGTCTGAAGAGCTCCAAGGCCACGTGGTGATGCACGTCAATTCTCGTCAATAATTGCAGACTTTTATCTCACGTTCGTGTCGCCGATTGATCTCGCCGAGGTGCCAATCGAACTCTCGATGTGATTGCCCGAATTCTGATTTGCCGCATTGTAGAGAAACCAAAGCAAGTCAACATGGACAGCAAAAGAATCATCGAGATCCTCAAGGGAACCATAGACAGCAATTACAGACAAGAAGCTGAAGAACAGCTTAACCAGGCAAGAATTCCACCCCTGATTTTCGATAATTTTAAACTCGGCTAATCTCTCAATTAATTCAGAATGTGAAAATTGGTCTTGTTCGAAAAATGTAAACAAAAATACATTTTTTTAACAAAAACTTCCTTGTGCCGCTCTAGGCTGCTGAAATGAAATGGAACAGTTTTTCCTCCATCAAAATTAAAACAAAAAATTTAATAATTGTTTGTAATCTTTTGCTAGATACACAAAATAATTGGGTTTGCACCTGCCCTTCTGCAAGCCATCATGATAAACGATGTCGACCTTCCTGTGCGTCAGGCAGGTCTGTAAATCAAAAGTTTCTTTTATGCAGTGTGATTTTAATATTTAATCTTGTCACAGGTGCTATATACTTCAAGAATTTGATTTCCCAGTTTTGGGCAGACAAAGAAACAGACCCAGGAGAGCCCTTGGCCTTCAACATTCACGAACAAGACCGGGCCATGATAAGGGACCTGATCGTCGACGCTGTTGTGGTCGCTCCAGAGAAATTGAGGTAAATTTTCTTTTATTAGTACTTAAATACTTAATTTCAATAAATGAATTTTAAATTTAATCGTGTTTAAATTTTGTTAATTTGATTGCAGGGTCCAGCTGGCAGTGTGCGTCAACAACATTATAAGGCACGACTTCCCAGACAGGTGGGCACAAGTTGTGGACAAAATCAGCATTTGTCTGCAGAACCCAGACCGCAGCGGGTGGCTGGGTGCCCTCATCTGCATGTACCAGCTGGTGAAGAATTACGAGTACAGCAACAAGGAGAAGCGGACGCCACTTTACGAAGCAATGAATTTGCTTTTCCCTCAACTGTACCAGCTGGCTTGTGGAATTTGGAACGAAGATACCGAAGAGTCGACCGTCCTGCAGAAGCAGATTCTCAAGATTTTCTTCTCCTTCACTCAAGTGCGCTTAAATGTTAAATCAAAAATTTCCTATTTTTACTACAAATAAATTTTATTGTAGTATACACTGCCCTTGGAGTTGATCACTAAGCAGTTTTTCCAACAATGGATGGACCTGGTGCGAATCATGGTCAACAAGGAAGTTCCTGCAGTCGTTGACAGTTTGAGTGACGAGGATAAGGCAGATACGGCATGCTGGAAAGCCAAGAAGTGGGCCCTTTACATTTTGCAGCGTATGTTTGAAAGGTTGGTCAAATTCGATTTCCAAAATTTGTTTTTTCGAATGAAACAGAGAACTTGTGTATTTTATTGGTGTGCAGAATTAAGGATAAACTTCATTTTCTCAATATTTATTCAGGTATGGCAGCCCTGGCTTTGTGAGCAAAGAGTACAAGGAATTTGCCGAATGGTATTTGAAGACCTTCTCAGCAGCTATTTTAGAAACTCTTTTGAAAGTTCTCGACAAACGGAGACGGAAGATGTTTGTGTCGCCTAAAGTGTTGTGCCAGTCCTTCAAATACGTTGAACAAGCGTAGGTTTATCCTCAGTTTATCGATAATTTTTTTAAATTTCCTTCCTTCAGTATTAAACATGCTTACACGTGGAAGTTCTTGAAGCCTCACATGTTGATAGTGGTGCAAGAAATTATTTTCCCGGTCATGTGCCACAGTCCGGAAGATGAAGAGCTTTGGCAGACTGACCCAATCGAGTATGTCCACACTAAATTTGGTAAGAAATGTTACTTTTTGAATTGTAGTTGGATCAAATAAAAATTATTCATTGTTACAGAGTTGATTGACGACTTTATGGATCCGGTGACCGCAGCTCAGGCTCTGCTGCTTGTTGTTTGCAAAAAAAGAAAAGCCATTCTTCCAAAATGCATGGCCTTCGTGGTGCAAATTTTGAATGCCCAGCAAAACGCTGATCCTTCGCTGAGAGATGGAGCTTTAAATATGGTCAGATCAGATTATTTTGCTGTGATCTGTCAAATCAAACTTCCCCATATTTCCAGGTTGGAACCTTGGCTGAATTGTTGATAAAAAAGAAAGAATACTGCGACCAAGTTTGCGGCATGCTTCAGCAGTACGTTTTCCCGGAATTAAAGGCACCACAGGGCCATCTCAGAGCAAGGGTAATATTCTGAAAAATTAAACCCAAATTTATGTGTAACTTCACTTGTTAAACTTCTATTGCAGGCTTGCAGTGTTATTAAATCGTTTTCGGACGTTGATTTTACCCAAGGCGGCATTTTGAAAGAGACAATTTACTATTTGATCGAATGCCTTGTAAATGAGAAAGAACTGCCAGTCAAAGTGCAAGCAGTGGTTGCTCTTGAGGCCATAGCCAGTAGTCAGGAAGGAGTGACTCCTTTCATCGAACCTCAGGTAATACTTTTGTTAACCATTTCATGCGGATTTAAATGCGATTGTATATTCAGATCAAGAATGTGGTCCTGGAAATGCTGAACTTGATCCGGGAAACAGAGAGTGACGAAGTGGCCAGTTCGCTCCAAAAGCTCGTTTGCACTTTCACCGAACTGCTCGCTCCAATTGCTGTTGACATCACCAAGCACTTGGTATGCAAATGCCCCTTGTACTGTTTTTCAAATATTTTATTATTACAAATATTTGCAGGCGACAACTCTGATCCAAGTGCTCGACACAGACGGCGGCTCAGACGAAAAGGCCATGATTGCTATGGGTCTGCTACACACAGTTGAGAGTCTGTTGAACGCGATGGAGGAGGTGCCAGGGCTGACCACCTTGTTGGAGCCAGTAGTCCTCCAAGTCATAGGATACATTTTTGAAAATTCAGTCATGGGCAAGTATTTTAAATACTCCAAGTATCTTTTCAATTTTGTTTGGTTTATCTATTATAAATATTTTAAAGGAAAAAATGTTAAAAAGAGTAAGTTGTGATTACTTTCAATGCATGCCTTTTCTTCTGGTTTCTATTTTTAAATTGCAAGACATGATCATTTTTCTAATAGCTCATTAAACAGAATTAGTATTGAGTCATATCAACATCCTGTCAAAAGATAAGGACTTTTTATGGCATCTTTATAAATAAAACCTTGATTTTTCTTGAAATGGTGTCTAACTTTTTTTTATTTTCACCAGAATTTTATGAAGAAACCCTACTCCTTGTGTATGAACTGACCAAGAAGACAATATCCAATGACATGTGGCAAGTTCTCGGCCTCCTATACACTGTAATAAATAATAAAATTCTCAAATTGGTCTAAAACTAATTTTATTTAAGCAGGTGTTTGGTCGTGACGGATTCGACTACTTCACAGAAATGATGCCTGCCCTACACAACTACGTCACAGTGGACACTCCTGCTTTCCTGGCTTCTCAGGACCGAATACTCGTCATGTGCAACATGGCCCGCGACGTACTCAACGGAGATGCCGGAGAGGACCCCGAGTGCCATGCGGCCAAGCTACTCGAGGTCATCATCCTCCAGTGCAAGGGCCACATCGACCAAGTATGATAATGATGATCTTTCATTTTGACTTGTTTTTAATTTTTTTTCTCATAGTTTATTCCTCCCATTGTGGAACTCGTCCTAATGCGTCTGACCAAAGAGGTGAAGTCATCGGAACTGAGGGCCATGTGCCTCCAGGTGGTTATTGCTGCTCTTTACTACAACCCAGAGCTGCTGTTCCGAATCCTGAACGACGTGAAACTGCCGCAAGCTCCAAATGACTCAGTCACTTCTCATTTTATCAACCAATGGCTCCTAGACACCGACTGCTTCCTTGGGTACAAATTTGAAACATTTTAAAAATTTGCAGCTAAGCAGTATTTATTCCTAGATTGCATGACCGGAAACTTTCTGTTTTGGGACTGTGCATGCTAATGCAGAACCCAGTCAGGCCTATTGCAGTCAACGAGTGTGCTCCTAAAATCCTGCCAGCCCTTTTGGTGTTGTTTGAAGGCCTTAAAAGAGCATACTCTGGTAAATTTAATATAAAATACTTGTATTCAGATTTTTTAATTTAATTTTTCTAGCAAAAGGTAATGACAGTGATTCAGACTCTGACTCGGATGATGACGATGACAGCATAAATGAGGGTAATTCTTTTAAATTTGGTTTATCCACTTTATTAATTGTTTCCCGTAGATGAGTTAGAGAGTGACGAGGATGATATTGACGAGGACGGTGCTGTTTATTTAGAGAGCCTGGAAGACAAACTCAAGAAAAACGCTGACGGATCGTTCAACATACAAACATCTATCATGGTGGGTTTACTTTTAATATTTTCTCCTTATTCTTGACCAAATTTCTAATTTTCCATAGACTGAAGGTGGCGACGATGATGATGAAGATGACGACGAAGATTGGATGAATGAAGATCCAACTGCACTGGAAGATTATTCCACGCCGCTAGATGCTGATGATTGTAACATTGATGAGTACATTATCTTCAAGGAAGTTCTTGCTGGTAAGTCCAAATGTTTAAAAAAAAAAATTAATATTATCAAATTTTTTAAACAGGTCTTCAAGAACGGGATCCTGCTTGGTATCAACACTTGACGGGCCAACTCACTATGGAACAGCAGAAGAAGATTCAAGACGTTTTTACTCTTGCCGACCAGCGCAGAGCCGCTGCCGAGAGCAAGCGCATTGAGGAGAGTGGAGGTCAGTGTCAATTTTTCTTATCGACCCCTTTGAAATTAAAAAATGCTTAATTTAAATTCAGGTTACATCTTCAGTCAGCAAACCGTACCAACCAAATTCAACTTCGGTGGAAACTCATGATAGGCAGATTGAGACTCGACGCATTTTATTTTCCTTGGAATGTATTAGGCTAATTATCATGCATGCAACTTATTGAAATGAACAGGCGATAGTTTTACTTGACTGCTTTTGCCTCTCCACGATGCCAAATAAAACTTTTCCCGCCCATGTGTTGCAGCTGCACCGATTTTTGCGAAATTTGCATTAAATGATAAATAAAGAGAAGGCAAAAATTTGAAAATAACATGTTGTTTTTCTTGATAACTCAGTTTTTACAATTTTCATTTATTTTTTTTTATAATTTTTTTGGTCTTTAATATCAATCACATGCTCATTATGAAGTAGTTATGAGGAATGATTGCAAAATGATACAGGATTGGCCTCGATGTATCAAAATCAATTATCTGAAATTAAAAATATAAAAATGAAATTATTTGATTTAAATAAAAAAAGTGGTGAAAATTCCCTTTTATAATCTTAATTAATAAGTTCAAGAAGTTATGTTTATTGCTGAAAAAAATAAATCAAAATTTTGGTTGCAAGAAACCCTATACTTACAATTTTTCTCCCTCTCAAATAAGTTGTTTTCAGAAATTGAGTGTAAACAATGTGATGTTTCAAATAGACAACAAAAATAATATTTTTGTTCTCGGCACATTATGATAAATAGCGCCTGCAAATATTTAATGTATGCAACCTGCTTGACACGTACGTTTCGCAGGTCGTATCATCTGTACTTTTTACCGCTTTTTTCAATGCAAAAAATGATTCAAATAATGTTAAATCGATCTATTTAAATAAAATGAAAACCAATCAAACAAATTTAATGAATGGATAAAATTATTTTCATTCACTCTGAAAACTAATAAAAATGATATTTAGAAGGAAAAAAATCTTTACCAACGTTAAGGTCACCGAAAACCGTCGCATATCTTGCGACCACACAACAAGTTGGTGTCTCGCGAGGAGGAATAAGAAAAGAGATGAGTGTGCGAAATCGATCGCAAGCATGCAGGCAGGGAGGCGACGCACGCTAGGAGCCGTGGGCGCGCGCGCGCGTGTCGTGACGTCACGGGTGTTGCTGGCCTAAGAGAGGACAGAGGCCTCGACGGTCGGTCGCGGGGCAGAAGCAAGGGTCGCGCACGTGTCAGAGGATGGGGCGATGCAGCTGAGCGGCTACTTCCTCATATCGACGGTGGCGCTGACGGCGCTGGCCACCCTGACCCTGTGCCTGGCCATCGTCAGCGACACCTGGGAACTGATCGAGTTCGACAGGGACAGGGTCGAGCAGGTCACGCGTGCCCACAACGACACGCACACCCTGTTGTGGCTGTTCGGCGGTCTCGCCGCCAGGGTCACCGTCACGCGACCGGCGCCGCACGCCGCGGTGCCCGTGCACCGGCACGTCATGGAGGTCACCAGGCTGCGGCGCCGTCGGGAGGTGACCTCGACCGACGCGGTCACCGACGCGCCGCCTGCCTCCGTGTCCAACGTCTTCCTCTTGCCCATGCGCGGAGGACTCTGGACCTTGTGCGTCAACCTCGACGGTCAGTGTCAAAATTCTGCAAAAATAGATAATTTTAATCATAATTTACATTTTTATGAAATTTGAAATAATCTTGGTTAACATTAATGTTTTGTTTCAATATTGAATTGAAATATTACTATTTGAATTAAATAAATTATTTTTAATTTAAATATTTTAAGAAATATTACCAAAAAAATTTAGAACTAAAAATTAATATTTCTAATGGAAAAAATTTTGCGTTTTTTTATATTTCGTGACGAAGGACGTCTTGTATGGTCACTCGTGAGCAAACGTCATTAAAATTTAACCGCAGTGGTTTAATTAGTGCTGCCCCACACATATGCATTCTGTCTATTCTTTTACTCATGTTCATTAGGACGATAAGGCATTTCATTTCACGACTCCTTCAGCCGCAATTAAACAAAGGGCGCTTTCTTTTACTCTGCTCGGAAATTAAACAAAGGTTCAAAGTTCGCTGACCGCACAGAACGCCCGCCGGCTCTGTTCTCTTTTAGCTCTTGAGCAGGATTAAAGCATTTAGGAAGGATATAACGTACAAATATTCATAATATTTTAAGTTAAAACTAAATTTTTTTAATTATTTTGTCTCCTTCAAGTTTTCATTTTCGATTTCTACAATAAAATTAGGGCCTTGAGCTTAACCAATGATAAATTGCCAAAAAAAGTAATTATTCCTCGGGCCGCTTAATGATCGTCTCCGTTCTTGATTGATACACGCAGGGTCGTTGGCTGCTAAGGACTTTGAAAGGTCGCTCATTTTCTCGCCATCAATCAGCTAGGGCGCAAATTCACACACACACAGCAGGGCATTGTGCGCCTTGACCCACATTGGCGCGTATGAGAATGGTTTCTCACACGCTGCGACGGGGTGCGATACACAAAAAGGGACTTTATGGATAAAAATGCATTTATAAAGGACCGAATTTATTAAAATCGTGGTCTTTTTAGATATCTTTTGGTTCGCTCCCTGCTGAGGCTTTCATCTAGCATAAAATTTTTCCTTTTAGTTCCGTAGAAATTAAAAAAAAAAAAATCATGCTAGATGATCAAGGTCACACATTTCTTAATGTCCTTTTCAAAAATAAGAAATAAATGCATTGTTACTTTCTGGGAGGATTCTTTATTTCGTTCTGGAAAAATATCATACCTTATATGCGAATCACTAAAATTCTTGTTTAATTTTTATACGCGTTTCAAGGAAAGATCATATTTATATTTTTATGGGTAAAAACCTATTCATATGAGTTTTTATAGCTCTTTTTATTAGTATTCCCCATGTGGCGTGTTGCTCAGAAATTTTTAATTATATCATTGATCATTTTCATCGATTGCTCTGTTAAACAATTACAATTTGCCACTCCAAAGAAAAATGTCTATGCTTTTGAATAAAATGCGCGAAGATAGATTTCCAAAATTTGGAATTTTTCATCATAAAAGTCTACATATCTCCTTTTTCCTTTTTTTGAATAAGTATGAGACCATAAAAAATAATAAAATCTTGTTTGCGGGAGAGGAGCAGGTGGCGCGCATAGAAACGATCAAGATCTCGCGCAAAAACAACGCGCTCGGTTTGAAACACAAACAAATAAATTTGATGAAATCGCAAAGAAAAATATCTCGTGGCTGCTCCAGTTTTTTTTATTGGGATTTTGGGAAAATGAGAGTCATCCTTGCTTTTAGCAAAAACCTGGCAAAAACTAAGAAAAATATGAATCACTGAAAATTTTAAAGCATCAAATTATATATGTGGATTAATGGAAAGTAAATTCAAAAATTTACAGTTACATTCAAACTTCAGTAATTAATTCTTCCAACTGAAAAGTGAAATTAGAATTTTTAATTATATATTTTGGCTAATTTTTTCACTCTAAATGTGTTTAATAGTTAAATTCAATAAGATAGAAATTATAAATTTTTTTATTATTTATTACGACAGGCAATTTTTTTTGCAGAGGACCAGCGACGAAATCTGCAGTCTTTGGGCTTCACAGAGGCCAACTGCATTCACTACATGTCTGCTGATGTAGTCAGAGTTGAAGATGGACGTGCAGACTGGCAGCACAGTAAGTTTGAAGATTTCCACTAAATTGTTTTATTTCGCATTTTGCTTTTATTTCACAAATAACGTCATTCTGAAAAATTGTTTTCTTTATTGAATAATTTATTTTACCGTTCACTTTTTTTATTTCATTTTTTTTTATGCTTTTCTGCATATAATTTATAAATATGTATTTGTGATTTGTGGGGGTTAATTAGTATCTCTCTCTACCTTGAAAATTCCTCAATATAATCTTAATAGCGCTGTGAAAGAAAATGTGTTAGTGCGGGTAATTTTCGTGTTCTTTCATGTCCCTCTACACTCGGCGGATATGAGCAAAACACGGTGGCGTGTCTGGCGTGACTTCCTCACTAACAATAAGAATTATGGGCAACGCGCGAGCACCCAACTCGCCTTGATATCAATCCAACTCCGGGTCTGGAAACGCGCTAAGTGCGCCATGAAAATTTTACTCTTTCATGAAATAATTATTCTGTGATACTTCCAAGAAATGTTTTTTTTTTTTTTTAAATTTTACTCACTTTTTTATACATTTGAATTTAATTGCTTGGATATACAAAAGTGGTCGATCGTGCAGTTTTTGTGTGTCGAAAGGGTCAGTCTGATACAAATAGCCGCTTGCTGACGTGCCGCTGAATGTTGTGGCCACGCTCGCTGCATAATTTATTTCTCGCCTTCCAAGTCACGTTTGTTTCTTTTTTCCTGCAAAATAAACATTTTTCGGCAGTATTTCTTCTCGCTCAAGAGGGCATGCCATTAAGTTAATGTAATCTTTTTTTGTGCGGGGAAAGAGAGCGATAAAAGTGCTCAACTTTCTTATCTTTGGCTATGTTCTTGGGTCGCCGCGCCGCGTGTTTTATTCTGGGAAAACAAGGTAACAAAAACACACCACCCCCTAATGCCGGTGGTAATTTTGGCGGCCACGCGAAGAATGATTGCCTTTGCATTTTCCAACACACACCGATAGTATTATTATTTTCTGTGGCGGCCGCGTATAAGAACTATTGGGCAGCGCGCACGTATTAAATTGCTCTCGATAGTTTATTCATGACGGGGTGTTGTCGATGTAGGACAAGCGGCAGATTACTCAAAACGTCAATATTTGATTGGAGAAAACACACACACACACACACACACACACACACACACACACACCATATGGTGTTGCCCTGGAAGAACAAATTAAAGAACGATACAAATCTAATTTTAGATTTCTTAGAAAGTCTATTTAATTTAGAGAGTTAAAATCATTAAACGCGTTTTAATTTTTAAATTTTGGCATTCATTAAAGATGCTTTGCCATAAAATCTGAATATTTAGATTCATTTAGATGCTCTGATGCAAGGACTGAGATTTTTATGATTTTTTCAAATGCGCCCCAATTTGATGCAAATTTTACCAGCGAGATTTCCCACGTGGCTCAGATTGCGAGCGCTTGATTAAACGCACAGCAGAGCTGGGGAATAGCGAGGGTATTATTTTACTCTGGTTTTATCTACCTGCGTTAGAAATAAAGGGAAATAAAGTAAACACATTCATTGACTTTTTTTTTAATTCAAAACAAAAATCAAACGTAGAGTGGATTCCACCAGCACCACCAAAATATACAAATCCAAAACTTTTCTTTTCAAATTGACCTTAAAAAGTAGCCCTAAAACAACAATTACACAGAAGACTAAATCACACTGACATATTAAACAGATTTTCATTAAAAAGTTTTTTTTTTTTATTTGAAGTTTTTTTGAAAGAAAAATATTTGTGCGTCTATTGCAAATTTTCCAATGAACAAATAATTAAATCTTTTAACGTCAAACTAGGCTTCTTTTTTAAAAATGAGCGAAAACCCTGCAATGCAGTCACATTTTTAATTTATTCCAGAATAGAATAAAAGCGTTCAAAAAGCATTTCATTATTTTCATTACTTTTTCCCACCCAATTTTTCTTCCAAAATTTTAAGTGCATGACAAATCTCTTGAAAAAAATATTGCTATTTTCAGGAATGCAGAATTTGTCGATATCATGCGCCCTTGTGTGCCTCATCATTCTCGGTTCGTCAGCGCTTGTTGGACTTTTAGGCGTGGTCAAGCATCAAATCAGCGCGGTTTTAATAACTGGAGTCATGTACCTGTTAGCAGGTGAGCCAATTTGTTTACAGTTTTTCTTTTTTTTTGAAAATAATAATAATAGAGTAAAGTATATCAGATATTTTTACCGATCAATTTACAAAATTTATGTTATTTAAATATCCAAAATTGTTCTTAAAATCCATAAATTTTAAATTTTTATATTCCATATTATCTTAATTAGATACATTAAGGTTATTTTACGTGTAACATAGCATTAATCGTATTAATATTGATTTTTTTTTTTAAATTTAAAGCAAACAAATTATATTTTTGAAAGATAATTTTATTAACCTTCCAAAAAAATATTTCTGGTGCAAATTTCGATGGTAAAATTTTTAATTTTATAAAATAATATGTGGAAATGCTAGATCTAAACTACCTACAAGTAAATGATGGTGTCACTGTATCGGAAACTATAACACAGTCAAATGGAGTCAGACAAGGTGGTGTCTTTTCTCCTTTTCTATTCATTTTCACAGTCAGTGATTTAAACGAGGCCATAAAAAATTGTAAAAATGTCCGTGCAATACTTTACGCAGATGATATTGTGCTAATAGGCGATAGCCTTGAAGATATTAAAGCAGCACTTTTGGAAATTGAGCAATATCTAGCAACCAAAAACTTAAAATTGAATTATGATAAGTGTAAGATTCTCAAAATTAGAAATAAGGGTAGAGGCCGTCTAAGGAAAGACGACATTTTAAATGTAAATGGACAAAACATTGAATTTGTAACAGAGTTCTGCTATTTAGGTGTAACTTTTCAATCATCGGGAACTTGCTTTTCAAATCATGTAAGCAAAAGGGTGAAAGCGGCACTCTTTGCAATGGCCAAACTAAACGCTTTGCCAAAATCCTCTCTGCAGTCGGCCAAAAAACTATTTGACTTAGCTATCTCACCGGTTGCAAGTTACGGAATTGAAGCCATTTGGCCGTATTTGAAGCAGAGGGATTTGGAAAAACTAGAAACCATAAAATCAAGATTCCTAAAGAGAGTTTTAAGTCTGTCTAAAAGAATGAAATCACGACTTGTATATGCATTAACGGAAAGTGAAACAATCGTCAGTGACTTAATGAACAAATACAATCTTCCAGCGCACACAGAAAGTGACAAATTTTTTAACTCCATGCGTCTTAAACAATTGGAAATCAATCCTCATTTTTATAACACACCTGCAATGACGAACAAAAACTGGCAGGCTACAAATTGTAAAGACAGACACATGTTCACCCGCTACTCTTGCCACGGTTTTCACTACCTGTTTTGCACAAATGCAGCCTATCACACGGCAGCAGATGACAAATGTAAATGTAAATTTTTCGATGAAAAAATTCTTTTTTATCACTTATTCGAATGTAACAAGAGCAATATTACGTTATCAGCCGCAGCGACAATGAAAAAGTGAGAGACAACACCGAGTGTGAGAGACAATACCGATGAAATAATTTTTGTTCCTTCATTTGACCGATTTTTACTTTATTTTATGTCTAGTATGTATGTTGTATACCGTTGGTATTTAATAAATAAATCAATCAATCAATATAAATAATTACATAATCAAAACTGATAAAATGGGTTTGTATGATAAATTTAAATAATTTATTTCCATTGTTAAAATCAGCGACTTTCGCCATGTTTTCGCTGGTGATAATGCACTTCAAGCGTCAGAGCAAGAAGGGTTGCGGCCTTCCCGAGGTGGTGCGTTACGTGGCGCCCGAGTACTACACGGCGCGCGTCTTCTCCAACGGCTGGAGCCTCGAGGTCGGCTGGCTCGGCGTCGTCCTGTGCGTCCTCACCAGCGGCCTCTGGTTCCTGCTCTCCAAGATCATGAGGTACAACCCGCTCGTGTCCCTCATCAGCTCCTAGTGCCGGTCGACGCACCCAAAAATTGCATGAAATTTGAGACCAAACCAACTGACTTTGTCTAACGAACAACATTTTTCGGCGCACAAAAAAGTGGAAATTTTTAATTCTTTTTAAGATAACATAAATTCAATCTCAATAATTCACTCTCAATAATTATGAAGTTCAAAAAAACAAAGTGAAATTTTCATGTAGTTTGAAACAAACACTTGCAATTATATTATAAATGCATATGCCTTAAATTTTAAGAAAATAAGCAAAATATTTCTCGGCACAGCAGGGAAATAATTAAAGTCGTTGAGATGTAAATTATGCTGGACCAAATCTTCATTAAGAGTAGGTAAAATTCAAAATGTGTGAGAAATATTTAAGCTGTATCAGTTTTGGTGAAAATCAACTTTTGCATGTCGTCGGCCTAGTCGTTTTAAAATGCTTATTCTAGAGTTGCAAATTTAGATGGAATTAATGCAGCAATTATTATAAATATAGTGTCAATAAATCGTCAATTAGTGGAACAAATTAACCCCTAAGCTTGTCATTAATTATTTTAAGTATTTAATTTCTTTATAGTAAGATTAATTCAAACAATGCTTATTTGAAATTTTTAATGTATAATAATGTTGAAATCTTAAAACTGGATCTCATTGTGGCTGTAATTTTAGATATTACAAGTATGCATTCTTAATGGGTTTTGCAATTATTAATTATGTTAAATTTGGAACTTGCATGGAAAAATGATGATGGAAAGCGTTTGCTGTAAAAATGCCTTTGACCTAATCTTAAGGAACATTTTTTTTATAATAATTACTTTCATGGCAGATCTGATAAATATAACGCTGCTGCATATGGGGTCTATTCAGTGAAAAAAGTAAGCGAACTTGATATTTGGTTTTGAAGAAGGAATAAAATAATGACCCCAATTAAAAAAAGAAAATGTTTTATATAGAGAAACTCATGTTGTTCCCAGTTTTATCTTAACGGAGTGGAAAATATCTTACATTTTTTGTTATCTTCTGTATTTTTCATTGTATCTTTCCTATTGATATGTTTCAAACAATTACAAAAATAAATTGTCAGAGCTTTAATTACAAAACTTGTATTTATCTCATATTATTTTTCACTTTGAAATAATCAGGGATCAGATAAAACACTGTTGGTAGTTAAAGTACATGTTTTTATTTATTTTCCATACTAAGCATTTTCAATAAGTAGTGTGTGTGTGTATGCGCGATTGGTTCAATCCACAGTATTATCAAGGAGATGCATCAAGGAGCAATGCTTTAATGAATTTTCACATTCCGGCAGTGAAAGTGAAGATCGAATAAAAATACAGCGTAATATTTTTGGGCAGTTTTTTTTGATTGGATAGTAAATGATAGAAGCATGTATTGTTGAGTTTTCTGAGCCCCGTCGTGAAATTTATCTTTTTTCGAAAAGAAGTGAAAAGAGGCTCCTCTGACCACTGCGCTAAAATGTGAACGTCTTCCTCGACAAATTTCCTTGAACGACAAAAGCGTGAACCGAGAGAGCGGTACTCTTGGTATCAAGACACAGCCAAACTGAAAATCTTATTATTTTAACTCAAACTGCTCAAGTTTATCATTGAGTTTTCAATTGTAATAATTATCCTCAAAAATATTGCTTCGATTAGCTTAAATGTAACACGCCACCATCCAACCAAAACTTTGGACAGGGTCCATCTGGTTCGAGCGCCACTGAAACCAGACCTCACCCGACAAATAATTTTATATAATTTAAGAATTATTAAACTTTCCGAGATTTAATTTATTTGTAACACCAACGTCAATAGAGGCTGAACATAAGTAATATAATAATTGTTAATGAAAAGGAGCAATCCCTGCATGTGGGTTTGCTGGGGGAGGTTTTGATAAAGTTACCACATTTTTTTGGTATTGTAGTGCATATCCCTGAGGAGCCTACTAACAAGTTGCAAGCTTAACAAGAGCAATAAAGTGCCACGCTATACACAAAACTCATCAGAGAGGCAAGTTGATTATTTGGCTTACTTGTTTGATCTTTGGATCAGTTGCGTTATTTTTACTTCCTTCCATTAAATTGAGCACAGTAACGGCTACTTAAAGCAATTAAGTGGCAGGATTAAAAACTAAAATTGGTAGATTACAACCTTTTTTTGAGCACAAAAACATTCATATGAACTACATTTTAATAATCTCTGACAACTAATTAAAAGTTTCACTCTCAATTCGCATGAATTTTGGCACTTGATCCAATGAGAATAATCTTCTTAGGTGATTTGTATGTACGCACTTATAAGTGAGTTTCTTTCAGATCGACCACTAATTTTCGTTTGACAAACAATATATCATTATTTTGTGCAGAATAAAAATAAAAAGACGGCGAGTGAAATAAATAATATCTTAAGCTGAAACACATGATACTTGTAATTGCATATAAGCAAACCTTTTTTTTATCTTCTTCTCAGACTCGATTTCGAGCCATGACGGAGCCAGAAAGGTGTCGGATATAATTTCTGGCTCGGGACACACCACTAACTACTGCTAGTTGCTCTGTGAATGCCGACAGAGGTGAGCACTTCTTGGAATGTGGCCAGGCTCTTGCTAAGCGTGAGGCAAAACCCTTTCGAGGCAGGAATCAAAGGAAACTCAGGCAGCTGGATGTTGGCCACGGAAAAGACAACTAAAGCAAATCGCATTAAAATATATAAAACTACAAAAAAAAAAAAAATGCATCACCTTCTCCGTGAACTTCTCTGAAAGTTGTCGGAGTCGTAGGAGACAGAGGATGAGTATTATTGTACTGCTCCGATATCTTGAGCCAACTTTCAAGTCTGTCAATTAGCCTAAATATTGCATCAATTTGTTAAAAAAAAACGTTTAATTTTATTATAAAAGTATTTTACTTGTATGCATGTTCATTGAAGTGATGCATGATTTCCTCCTTGAAAATGCTTGGCGGTTGGATCAGCATTTTAGTAAGCGCCTGCACCTGCTTCAGTACAACCATCTCATTGTACATCCGAGAGTTCTCCCTGCCTTGCTGTGACCCTTTTTGCTTTTCATAGCCGGCTTCATTGAAATACGGCTCGCTGACTAGAATTAATCCTGTAGGAACAAAATCATGCATTATTTGTTAGGAATTTTATTTTTAAACCACATTTCAGGAAAATTAGAAATTGACCTTGGATTGAGACTATGACTTGCAAGAGGGTAGAGTTGAGAGTCCACACTTCGGTGCCTTTGCCACTCCAGGTGCCGAGCAGACTGACACAAACTTTGCCGTCCTCGTACAAATTCGGGTTCAGCCTGTCGCTGCAATAGCTGATGTAGTGGCAGACGGGAGGAGCCTTAGGATAATTGGACGACAGTTGGAAGTCAAAGAAAAATAATCCATCCTCGTAAGGCGTCTTTGCCGGGCCTTTGATCATAACCGAATACAAATCCTAAAGAAAAGGGTTTATAATTTATCAGAATGGATTTTGTCTTTATTTACCATTCTGTCTTCAAATCCTTTGACACATATCCCTCCAGGCAAGGAGGTCCTCAGCAGTTTGTGTTCTTTGCTCACCGCTTGGAAAAATACTTTTGGCTCAGTCGGTTGGAACATAGTGAGTTTGAATTTGTGGCTGTTCGGAGCACTGTCCTCAATCACAAAACCTTTTCAAAAATTACAGAAATTTCAATTATTTTGCATTCGAATAAGGCGCAGTTTTAGTACCTTCTCCGAACACCTTCTTCTTCTCAGGCCCGTGGCCGTTCGGAACGCCTACCTCAGCCTCAACACTCAACTCGAGTTCCTCACAGGAAGCCAGGGGTGCTGCGTCCTTTCCAGTTTCCTCTTCCACAGGTTCTTCCTTTTTCTCAGTCTCCTCAAGTTTCGGAGGCAAATCAGGAGAGTCGGGCATGTTGGCCTCCTGCCGAGCCTGGCTCAGGGTGATTTGTCCTCCGAACCTGGTGGTCACTTCCTGCAGGGCATTCAGCAGCTGGCCCTTGATCAACGAGCACAGTTTGACGCACACATTCGGAGTCCGCATGTCCTCGGAGGCGGAAGACGCATTGTCCTGTTTGGCTGCGTCGGCGTAAGACTTGTTTGTCAAAGGCGACTGTGGTGCGTTGCTGGCTGCGGCCGTCATCTGATAAAAATAAATCATAAGTGACATATTTATGTTTGGTTGAACATGTCTTCACTGACCTGCCGCTCCAGATTTGCAAGATTTTCGCAGAGGAGAAATTCAGCCGAGGTGAGAGAGTCGCTGGGACTGCTGCTGCTGTCCTTGTTGTTGCTGATGCAGCCAGAGTCCTCCATGGTGCGAGTGCTGTCAGTTGAGGATGTTGTCTGGTCGTCGCTCTCTCCTGATCGGAACAGGCGGCTCACCTGGTCGGCCACTCTTTGCGCCACATTGCTGCGGCCCCTTTCACGCACTCTTTCCAACAAACCTTGGAAGTGGCTCTCGTGGAAAAAAGTAGTTCCCATCAACTTGTCCAAATACCTGTAAAAAAACATTGGAGTTTCACCTGATTTTTTTCATACTAATTTAAACCCACCGGCAGTCTTTGTATACGTCCAAGAGCTGCCTCATCACTCCAGTAGTCTGCAAGGCTGGATTCTGAGTGAAAATTTCCTCAAGTCTTGACATGGCGATTCTCGCCTTTTCAATGTTAGCACCCAACTTAGGTTTAAGAGCAATTTCATCCAGGTCGTCATCAGGACAACTGAAAGGGCCGAAATTGAGAGGTTGGGAAGAGATGTAATCAGGATTCCTTACCCAACATCAGCAATGTAACAGTCTTCAGATTCAGTCTCCCACGAAGCATCACTGGCTGGGGTGTCCCACAGCTCTCCCTCGTCACTGTCGTACTCCCCAACCCTGTATAAGTCCTGTGGCCAGCACATGGAAACGTGATTATCCACCCACCAAACCTGCACCTGAAACATCAGTGACGCCATTAATTAAACATTAATTACTAAAAGAAGGAAAATATAAATTAAGCACAGTTTAACAAAAAATCTACTTGCCCTTCCTTCCGGATAATTATCAAGCACTTGTCCAGCAGTGCAAGCAGCATCTTCACCTTCAAAGTTAGCAACCCTGATCACAACAGTTCCAGGGCGGTATTGAAAGTCAGGGTGGTCCTTCAGGTCATACACACTGACCTCCTTCTCATCCAAAGCAGTAGGCCTATTCAAAAATGGTTGGATTAGTCGTTTAACTAAATTTACTTAATTTTTATTACTTTGGGTCATCCAGGGAAGTGTACGTTTTGAACCACTTAACTCGGGAAGTTCGTCCAGCGTGGTCAACACTCTGGACCACTCCGTACACTTGAATTAAGGCATCTTCTTTGTTTTCGACGACAAAGTCACCGGGAAAGAATTCTTTGTCGTCCAAGTGGTGAATTGGGTAGAGCATGGTCGAGGGAATCTGCTTCTCGATCACCCCGTCCTGCCAAACAACGTCAGCCACTGAAGACGTGGACAGTGTTTCAACCACGACCCTGTCCCCAGGCTTCATGTTGAATGGTTTTTCAGTCCGTTTCCTGGCACGCCGCAGCTTCTTTGTTTTCAACACTTTCGTCATCAATGCAGGGCCTTTCTTCTTTTTACCTGAAATTTAAATTTTATTGAAATATGATTAACCTTACAGGGATTTAGCTATTAAAATATTTTCATCAGTTAAATTAACAATTAAAAATTTTTATCGAAATAATTTTGGTCATCTCGATTGAAAGGACCATTTGATAATTTCATTAGGATAATTTAAATTACCTTGAGAAGTGTTGCTGCAGGTACTGCTGAGTGACGCTGTGTCTGAGAAGCTGCCAGTGTCCTCGGTGTCCCAATCGTCAGTGTCCGACTTCCGCAGAGGCAATGGAGAGGGAGGCGCGAGATGAGTTGGGGAAGGGCTGGTCGAACCAGAGGCAGGAGCCCCAGGAGGAGCCAAGTGCAGAGGAGACAAGCTGGCACTGCTCACCGTCCCTTCGTCCTCTTCTTTGCTGGGCACCTTTTTCGGGCCGAGCAGCTTCTTGTTTTTTGCTCCTGGAAGAAGTGGAAACCTTTCCTTCTGCATTCGACGCCAGCACTCCTTTGGGATGATCAGGTCGTTTTGCTCAACGGTGTAGTAATTGCGGTCGCCAATTTGCAGCGAGCAAGGCTCAAACACGTTGATCATCTTCAATCTAAAAGAAAGTTTTGGGGGAAAAAAATTAATTAAAAAAACTCAAATAAAAATATATAAGCAAATTAAAATTGTGAATTTGAACGCATCAATTTAATAACAAAATGAAAATATTTTAATTTGATAAGAGTGTAAGTTAGAAGTAAAAAAAAAAAATGAATTTAAAGGGAAAGACTTTTAACTCAAATTAAATGAAAGATCCGCATTGGATCCTAATTTTTATAAATAATTTATATATATATACTTACCTCTTCAAATCATCTCCAGACACAATGTGCTTTGGCTGCTCTTTGTCTCCGCTGATGCTGTCTTTCGAGTAGGCTTTGCACTGCCAGTGGACATTCACCGAGTCCACCTGCACATTTTCAACAACGACATTCACCATTTTACCAACTTTTGGGTTTTGCAGGGATGCTCTCAGCTCTTTGGTTGTGTGCAGCCAATTTGCTTTTGCCAAAGACATCAGAGGCCCATTCAGTACCTGGCCTGGGTAATAATCAGCATGATTGAATTCCCCATCCTGCAATTTAAGATTTGGAACAATTATTCATGACCATTGATTTGCATATCGTCGGCTACGCGGCCAAATGGCCGATCTGGTAATTACCCCTGTGGGGAAAATGGCAAGTGGCCACTTTCCCCGTTGGGGAAAATGGCAGATGAGCCTTTTTTTAAATTTTACAGGAGAAGCAAAAAACTGATTATCTGCTCCAATTTTCAATGTTCAGATTTCAAAATTTGAACCAAAGTTCAGCATGTTTTTGCAGATAATTAAGTAGACTTAATTTTCTTTTAAACCTTAATATACAACTGTTGTAAGAAATTTAAAGGGAAGTAACTCCACACTGAAAGAGTAAAACGTACAATACAATCGAAATTAAACCACTTATGCAATTATTTCCTGCTTTTCTTTGTTCAATTTAACTTAAAAATAATATTTTATAATATAATTTTATTTTAATTCATCTTTTTTTATAAAATTTTTATTATTTTGTTTTATTTAAATTAATTTTAATTTTATTCTTTTATTTGCACAATAGTAAACAATTTTGGCATTAAAAGCATTTTTTTTTCACATGACCCGGCGTCACTTCTAATTATAATCTCATGAATAGTTTTACTGATATTTACTATAAATTGCAATAATTAGTAAAGTAAAATCTAGCTCGGATACAACATAAAGCTTCTGGTTGCATGTCAAATATTTTAATAAAAAAATCTATATTTTACTATTTATTTAATTTTAAAATTATATCTATTTTAAAAATTATTTGCATTATCACGCAAAATGCATGAAAAAGCTGTCACTTTGGAATAAAATATTGACGAAACTACAGCTTATTCTGATATTTTACTTCTTACTTAATGTTCGGTATTTTATTAAATTTATTAAAATTTTATTTTTTTATTTTTTTATATTTTCGATATTTTCATTATTTTTAACATTTATTGCATTTAAAACAATTTTGGCATTATTCAGCAAGCGGGAATGCTGCCTGCTTGCTGTGGAACTTGGTAAGGGGGCGTGGCACTGCCTTACTTTTGCTCCCCAAACTCGCGATAGTGAGACATCTACCGAGAAAGTTGATACTTTTATGGTTATTTCTGATGCAGATTTTTACACTGAATGCATTGGAACAATAAAAAAAATTTGTCCGGAAATGCTCATCTGCCATTTTCCCCAACGGGGAAAGTGGCCACTAGCCATTTTCCCCACAGGGGTATTTACCAGATCGGCCATTTGGCCGCGTAGCCGACGATATAAAATTTGTTTTAAATTTCCACACCCTTTTGTTCTTTTCATCTGCATCCTCAAAAGTGAAGTTTTCCAAATCACTGACGATACATGTGCAACCGTCGTTCAATTTCAGTTCCAGACTTGTGTTGACCTGTCGAATTCCTCCGACCCACGAGTCTAGGCACACCACAATGTCGGGAGAAAATTCCTGAAATTCTCGATTTATAAAAAATCTAAATTATTTATTAAAAAGGCTGCCCACCTCTAGAGGTACGAGTTTGGCGCTTTTGATGTTGGCAATGACCAGGTTTGTGCCGATGACCTGGTTTGTGCCGATGACCTGCACATTGGCGCTCATGTCGATGAACCTGCAGTAGCCCCTCTGGGTGTCCTTGCCCTTGATCATTTGCCGGACGACGTCACCGGGCATCAACGACCTGTCGGCCAGACCAACCTGGAATTTCATCGAGTAGATTTTAGCAATTTTAATTTAATTTCAATTAAACTGCAGACCTTTTTCTGGGGGATGACCTCCTCGGAGCCCTTGGGGTGCCACGCAATTCGAATGTGTCCGCTCTTGAGACGGCCGAAATTCTCGCTGTCCGAGTTGTCGTCGCTGCTGTAGAGCTCCGAGTTCTCCAGGACCAGGCCGTACTGGATGTTGCCCTTCTTGTTGTACCGGTAGACGACGTCCTCGTTGAACAAGTCGTCGTTCAACCTTCCTTCTAGAGACGAAGCCATATTGACCGCCGCAGCCGCACAACTCGCAGACACGCCGTCCGACCCTTCGTCCAACTGTGTCCGAAACGAGTTTGCTACGCTTGGCAGCTCGATTCAGCACCCCGACCGCTGCCAGGCACGGTGGTCATCGAGAAATTCAATGTTTTTTCCGCCGAGTCGCGAAACTTCAGTTCCAAGTCCAACAACCTGACGTCGACCAGCCCCTGCTGGATCGGCAACCAGCTTTTCAGCACACGGCGCACACGCACAGAGACGATCCAGCCAATCAACGACGGCCGCCAATTTCGAATTCAAATTTAGGCGCGTTTTACACGCGATAGATTAAAGAAACTCGCGAAAACTGTTGCTTGTGTAAAAAGATACACTTTTCAGCTTCAGCGTTACCGTTCGCAGACTAAACTTTCACGAGAGACAGTTTTTAATCGTAAGAAACAATTATGTATGTAACTATGCATTAAAATTTTAAAACAGTTAAAAGAGAAATTACAAAAAAGTCAAATATTTAGAAAAATTGAATCCGGGTTCCTCATTGCAAAGAAAAAAAAAACAGCTGACCCCTCAAGGTAACCTGCGGTTTGCTGGTACCTTAAAAACCTAGAGCTATATCGTGTTCAAACTAAAACAAGTGGGAGGAATTAATAAAAAAATTCAAAACAAAACAGGAGGAGAATTTAATTTCCGTTAATTTAAAAAAAAAAGTTGCAGAAATTAATTGAGTCAGTCAATATCTTCACAATGCGACTTAATCAGAAATTTCCAGGGCAACAAACCCAATGATTTTCCTGGCAAGATCACAATGATATACAGCATAAACAGCACTATTGGTCAGGACAGCTGTTTCAGCCAATCCAGGTCAAATATTTTGTTGAATTTATCGAATTTATTTCATTTGATTTATTAAGATTAAGTTTTGTAATAATGAAAAGTTGCAATTTAATTCTGCAACTTTATCCTGCCAATTTTAACGTGTTTAATTGATCATAACTTAACTTATCAGTTATCATAGACGCTTTAAATTTTATTCATTTGTTAGATTTGGAAACCTACATGGGTATTTGGTCAACATTTAATAATAGATTTGTGGCTGTTGCGTTTCTTTGATAATTTGCTTTTGATAAACTGACAAACGGCCTGGTAAGAATGAATGCGGTTTTATGCTTCTCTATCTAAAAGCAAGCTTCCTAGGAGACTCATTTCTTTGTTTGTGTTCGGCATCAAATATTGAGCAATTTTTTTTATTGCTTTTCCTTCAAAGATTGCTTTTTGATTGTCAAGCTGTCGAGTCACGCAACGCTAAATACAAAAACCATAATAGTATTAAAAGGAGAGGAAACGAGCAAATTTTTTTCTTACTCTTGACTCTCTTGAGGTGTCGGATTTTAAGTTTGCCGTCAAGACTTTAATTACCTTTTTGTGTTTTTGGTAATAAAAAAAATTAAACCTATCACCGGCGGATAATGAGCATCTATGTTCTCAACTTGCCGTCTCGTAGGTAACGCATTGACTAATTCATGCGATGCCTGTCACAAGAGAACGCAAGCTTGATTGACAGCCGCGCATGAAAAATGCATTCATTGATTGAAAACGCTCGCAAGCGGTCAAGCTGTAACAAAGTTAGTGTCAGTCAGTCACAGTCCAGCGGTAGCTAACATGAGGACCCAATTAATTTTGCTCTTCATGGCCACCCTTGCATATGCAGAGCAAGACGCCATCAACATCAGTGAGTACAATATATTTTTTTAATTAATTCGGAATAGGATGAAATTTAAGTAAAAATAAAAACGAATTTAGTGTTTGTAAACGACGAGATGAACGAGGTCGCGTCCAGGTCATTCGAGTCGGTGCTTTTGTACATCAAGCGCAACGGCGATTTGTCTTTGACGATCGGAAGAATTGATAATGTCACCATCAATGCGACAGACCCGCAATTTCTACTGGATACATGCAAGTACCAAATTTAGCAAAATAAATAGGGTTAAATTATAGAATTATAGAAAAATTCTAATTTATTTATTTATCAAGGGTTTATTCATGGTGATTTGAATTTAAAGTCAACTTTTCCTCAATGGGTTTTGTGAGTTGTTCATTGTTTAAGAAAAACAATATCCTGCGACTTTAAATTCAAATCACCATGAAGAATTTTATAAATTAATTTATTATAACTTCAATGAAGTTTTACCAAATTATTAGCAATTAAAATGAGATTTATGATTTTGATAAAAAAAAAAATTAGCAATAAATCTTGGTTTTTTGCACAGTATGTCAGACATACGCCGAAAGTGTCAAAGCTGGAGAGCCACCTCACGTTCTGATAGACGCGACTCTCAGTGGGGACAGTTCGGAGGTGGTCAAAGCCTTCAGCGCTTCCCTGGCTTTGCCCACCGTGTCCGGGTCTTACGGCCAAGAGGGAGATATCAGGTCCTTATTTCTTAAAAAAATTAATAATAATAAATAAATTTTTTGGGAAAAAAAGACAATGGAGGGATTTGGATGAAGAGCAGCTGAAATATTTGATCCAAGTGCAACCGCCGGGTTACCTAATTCCAGAGGCAATCAGAACAATCGTGGTTGCCCAAAACCTGAGCAGCGCTGGAATTCTCTTTGACGACTCTTTCGGTTTGATTTTTTTTTTTTACAAATTTTATTTTTTTATAAAATCTGCTTTTAATAGAAATGGATCACAAATACAAGAGTTTGCTTCAGAATATTCCAGCTCGGCACATCATCTCACCGCTCAGGTCCAACATCAATGAACAGTTGGACCGATTGCGGCAGGTCGACGTGAACAACTTCTTCATTTTGGGCCGCCTGAGCACCATCAAAGACGTCCTAGAGGTGGCCAACGCCGCCGAAATGTTCACTCGGAAATACGCCTGGCACGCGTTGACCCAGGTTCCAGATCAATTATTAAAATTACAAAAGTGGAGGAAATTTACACTGCAAATTGATTTCAGGACAATGGTCCTTTGCGGTGTCCTTGTAATGACGCAACAATTCTCTATCTGAAACCAGTGCCAGACACCAGGCTAGCACAAAGATTGGCTCTGTTGAAGGCAAAATATTCGCTGCCTGGTGATCGCGAGATTACGGCAGCATTTTATTTTGATTTGGCGCTCCGTGCGTTGTTGGCTGTGAGGTAAAGGAAAAATAAATATTTTTCATAAATAATAAAAATTTTTATAGTAATGTTTGAATTGTTTTCAGTAAAACTTTAATATATAGTACGATATTTATTACATATTTTACTTCTATGAATTGCGACTTGAAAAAGTTGATCTGTGCTCAGATTCATGAAATAGTTAAATTTAAGATACATAACAAACTTCCAAATAAAATATAAAATTTTGAATCTATTCCAGTTAAAAAAAGTATAATATCGTCATTTTGCACTTAACTTCACACACAGAAATCGTGAGATTAAATCATTAAATTAAATTAATTGCAACTTACAAATTTATTTAACTTTTGATAAACCTTTTTTTGAATGAAATATCTCCAAATAAAGAGTTTAAGTTTTGCATTGTGCAACATTATATTTTTCAAATTACAATAATTTTCTTCCATAACCTCACGCAGAATGTGAAAAACGGCCCTTTTGAAAACCAATATTATTATTAAAATTACGAAGAATTTCTACATTTTTTTATTCAGGTCAATGATCGAAAGGAACGATTGGCCCGTGGACATGCAGCACACTCTTTGTCCGGACTATCGAGAGGACCAGCCGATCCGCAGGACGAACCTGGACCTGCAGATGGCCTTCCGACAGGTGCAGGAACCAGGGTCGTACGCAAAGATGCAGATTGAGCGCAACGGCCGCAGCCACCTGGCGTTTACCCTGCGGCTGGAAAAGGTGTCGGTGGTCGGCGGCAGGGCGCTCGAGGCCGAAGACCTCGGCTCTTGGCCCGCGGGCATCGAATCGCAGCTCCTGGTCCGCGAGCCGCGCAGCCTGGCCAACCTCACCTCCGTCACTGTCTACAGGGTCGTCACAGCCATCGTAATATATGCATATAATTATTTTCCATTCCACTTTCTTTGAAAAAATATTGCTCTAGATTTTATTATAGAATAAATTATTGAAAATTAAAACTACATACACAATTAAGAATAATTAAAAAAATTATTGTTCCACTTTTATTTCAAAAAATGAATTCTTCAGCAACCGCCGTTTGTGATGCACGTGCCTGAGGAAGAGCAGGCTGCTCAGGGTGGGCGAAAGTTCCGTGGCTACTGCATTGATCTGCTGGAGGAGATTCGGCGGATAATGGGGTTCGAATACGAGATTTATGAGGCACCTGACCACAAATTTGGGTCGATGGACGAGCAAGGCAACTGGGACGGCATGATAAAGGAGCTCAAAGAAAAGGTATCAAATTTTAAACACCAAAATGATTGATAATATTGCAAACGGGCCTTCTTCTAATTAATAAAAAAATTATTTATAAAAATCAATCAATATTTTAGCGGGCCGACATAGCGTTGTCTTCTTTGCCAGTGAATTCAGAACGGGAGACGGTCATCGATTTCACTGTGCCGTACTACGATCTCGTTGGGTACAGCATTTTGATGAAGAAACTCAGTTCCCCAACGTCCCTGTTCAAGTTTCTCACTGTTCTTGAAACAGACGTTTGGCTCTGTATTCTCGCCGCCTATTTCATCACAAGGTGAAAATATAATAAACTCATCTTAAATTTTTCATTAAAAAAAAAATAAATAAATAATAATAATAATAATTTAAATATGCCACATCAAAACAAAACAAAACTCGGAGCAGAGTTTTGAATTGTAAATAATTTTAATTTTCAGTTTGCTGATGTGGATTTTTGACCGGTGGAGCCCGTACAGTTATCAGAACAACCGCGAAAAGTATAAGAACGACGAGGAGAAGCGCGAGTTCAACTTGCGCGAGTGCCTGTGGTTCTGCATGACCTCGCTGACCCCTCAGGGCGGCGGCGAGGCTCCGAAGAACCTGTCGGGGCGGCTGGTGGCCGCGACCTGGTGGCTCTTCGGCTTCATCATCATCGCGTCGTACACGGCCAACCTGGCCGCCTTCCTCACCGTCTCCCGTCTGGACACGCCGGTCGAGTCTCTCGCGGACCTTTCGCAACAATACAAAACCCAGTACGCGCCCCTCAACGGCTCCGACACCATGATCTACTTCCAGCGCATGATGGGCATCGAGCAACGATTCTACGAGTACAATTATTTAATCGTTTTAATTTAATATAAAATATATGTTTTCTTTAAACGTATAAATTGAATAACGCTCTTCATGATTAATTTTAATTAGAAATAATTTTAATATTTTCTTTCCAATCATTGTGAATAAGTTTTTTATTTATTTATTACTAGTGCACCTTTTTTGTCCTTTTGTCAATGCATGTCAAAAAAATTTAGTTTTGGTTTTTTCCTGTAGTTTTTATGCAAATTCATCAATCAGTTTAAATGAGAAATAATTGTTTGTGGCGATTTTTTGTTTCAAATAAGAATTTGGAAGGACATGAGTCTGAACGATAGCTTGACAATAATTGAGAGGGCTAAGCTGGCTGTTTGGGACTATCCTGTAAGCGACAGGTAACACCAATTTTGAGGGGTTTTTTATTAAATTTTGGCTATGGTAGCTCTAAAAATGACTGACATTGTACACATATAATTTGCAAAAATACTACAAATTTGGCACAATAACGCCAAAAATTATGCATTGTCATTACAATTTTCATAAATTGAACTTATAATAATGAAAAATAACTTAATTCAATGAACAAAGAATAAAATGTTCTAATAAACTTGAATTTTGCAGATATACGAAAATGTGGCAAGCGATGTTGGAGGCTGGTTTGCCAAGCACGATGGAGGAAGCAGTGGAAAGAGTCAAAATTTCCAAATCCAGCAGCGAAGGCTTCGCTTTTCTCGGTTTGAACCCCTTCAAATTATTATAGCTTGTAAATAAATTATTAATTCTGGCAGGCGACGCCACCGATATCAGATACCAGGTCCTCACCAATTGCGATATGCAAATGGTTGGAGAGGAGTTTTCGCGAAAGCCGTACGCGATCGCCGTTCAGCAAGGCTCGCCTCTCAAAGACCAATTCAACAACGCGTACAAAACAAAAAATTAATCAAATCAACGCAATTTTAAAATATCTAAAATTCCAGAATCTTGCAATTGCTGAATAAGAGGAAGTTGGAGAAGCTGAAGGAAATTTGGTGGAACCAAAATCCAGAAAAGAAAATTTGCGACCGGCAAGACGACCAGGCCGACGGCATTTCAATCCACAACATCGGTGAGTTTATTTCTTATAAACAAGAAAAGGAAAATTGAACTGAAATTTAATTAGGCGGAGTTTTCATCGTGATCGCCGCCGGAATCGTCTTGGCCTGCTTTGCGCTGGCATTCGAGTTCTGGTGGTACAAGGCAAAGAGACCAGACATTAATCTGCCCCATCAAGAGCCGATAGAGGTGAAGAGCCGCTCGAAATTGGGAATGCCATCGACCTCTGGAGTGCCCGCGTCCGATATTTTGCCACACGGCCTGCGGTAAATTAATTTTTACTATTACAATATTATTAAAATTTCTTCATTTATTAATTTTGATTTATTTTAGAAGCAGGATGATGGCCACCAACGGCCAATGGTCATAAAGATAAAAGATTTTGACGATTGGAAATAGTTTAAAAGTAGAAAAAATTAATCAATTAAACAAAATGCGTGCAAAAAGGAATATGTTGGCGTTTGATTTTTTAATTTTGTTCAAAGAAAAGGAGTTATCTGTAGAGGCCTTTCTCAGGGGCGAAAGTTAAAGAAACTTTTCAACGGCAAATAATCAATAATAAATTAATTAAAAATCAGTGAATAGCAAAAAAAATATTATACTACATTTATCTCATTTTTCCTCTAATAGACAAAAATCTTTTTCTAACTTTTGAATCAAAGCCTTATTACTTATTGTAAGTTTGTAATTATATCATAATATCACAATCTGAATAGTTAATTTCCACAAAAAAATTAGGTTTATTAAGTTTTGAAATGGCATTTTGTAAATTTGTTAATGACATCTGTACGTTTTTTTTAATATATTAATAGTTGCGTGTAAAAACAGTTTCTAGTGTCAAAAGGGAGTATCTTGTATCCCATTCTGATGATCTTTTCACATAATTTTCCTATTAAATTGTATACAGTACACATTTTATATATTTCTGTTCTGATCTGACACTATACATTTTTTAATTAATTTATTTATCATGAATATCATACCTTTAATTTCTGCTCTTGCTGCAAACTAATTATTTTTAAAAGAGCTATTTTGTTTTTTAATAAATCAAAACACGTTAAAGGTGGGAAGAGGAGGAAACTATGTTGATGATCAATGGATAGTATGTATGGATCCTTGGTGATTATTTATTTATTTTTTTGTATTGATAATTATTGAAGTTCGAGTTCTATCAAAAGTTGCCAAGAGACAACACAATTTAATAAAAAAGTAAAACTGAGTAAAATTAATTTAAATGTTTAAAATGATAATAAATTTATAATCAACTTATTAATTTTTTAAATAAAACAATATTATATTAAATTATAAAATGTTTTCTTTTTTTAATAATAACAAATTTTTAAAATACTAGAGTCAATTGTCAATTATAAGTTAAAAAATATAGCTCAAGTAACTTCATTATTTTTTTTATTTTGGGTCTTCAAAGCCTAAAAAATCAGCAATGAAAAAAACTTCCGCCGAGTAAATTTAAATTTAAAAATCGATTTGGCACAAAAGTTGCTCGGCCATCGCTAATATTTGCATATTATAAGATTTTGAAAAGAGCAGCAGCAGCATGCAGAGTTGGCATAGGTGTCTCGGCCAGTCCAGCGCTGAGAGTGATTCATACAATAACAAATCTATTTAGAAATAATTGAAACAAGGTGAACGCAAATGAAATTGCCTCACTTTTGAAAAAGTGATTCATTCCAAGTTATTGAAGCTATCTGCAGAAAAAGTATTTATTATGTTCACGCGAAAGCCGGAAGAGTCGGGCGTGCATTTTCTCAAGTATGAATTTAAAGGCAAACAGGTCTATTTCTAGTTGCATCCATCCGTCGGTGCATAATATGATCGCGGCAGAAAACCGGACGCAGACCTTTCTGCGAGCGCAGCAGCCTTTTGACAATGAGATCCAGAGTTAATGGCCTTCACGCGCGCGTTAAATGCACCTACACTTATATCAGCAGCGGCTATTGCCTCCTTGATTGCCTCCTTCCTACTCCCTTCCGACCGAAATCCACATAAATTCTTCTCAGGAATACAAACATTAGAAATTTGCATTTATTTTCCAATCGATGCAAAAAATGATAAAAACGAAAGTATCGAAAAGTGCTGCTTTTTCTTACAAAAAAGTGACGATTGGAAATTCTTGGGTGTTGCAGGCCGGTTGCATAAGTTCAGGCGCTCAACCAAATGTGCGTCTGCTCCAGATGATGTGGAGAAAGTTGGCGGAATCTTTCACACGCACTCTGGCCAGCATACAGAGCCGTTTGGTCGATTCCGCACTCGCCTTGACCCTCTCAATTCTCAACGAGAGCGCAGGATGCTTTTTTCGTTACTTACGCAAATCGAGCGCATAAACAAAGGCGTGAGATCTTCTAACTTTCAAAATGCACTCACTATGAGAGATTTGTCAATATTTTGGTCGTCTTTAGGTTCCAATTTCAATTGCAAGTAAATTTAGCAAAACATGTAAAATAAAGTTCAACAACTTTTTTCATTTCTTTCAATCTCTAGCTTTTATTTTTACAATAAATGAATGAAATTAACTTATTTTATTTGCTATTAAAGCATTGCGCTGTAGATTAAAGATTTCCAAACATTATGTTCAATCAACAATTAATAGCCAAATTTACGATGATTTTCATTATTACATTTAAAATTGAGTAAAAACAAAAATCAACTATGAAAACAAATATCGTGAATTCCGTGACTCTGCTATTGAATGCAGGACAAAAGGACTAATAAATAACAATTTCCAACACAGTAAAAATTCCCAACAATTTTGATAATATTTAATTAATTTTTTTAAATATGAATTTGTAGTCCCCTCTCTCTTCACTGACTGGATAATTCGCGTATGGTTGCAATTGGGCAGTCAAAATTTTTGGCGGCGAACCCCTCCAGGTGTTTTGGTGCGATCAGTAGGTGCGCGACCGGCGCGCAGGTAGTACCTTCGGGGAAGAGGGACCTTGCGAGCTGCATATATAAACACGAGTGGCGGCTGCTGGCGGGTTTTACTTCATTGCGTGTTTTTCCACAGAGTGATCGCAGTAAGTTTATCTTCTAATTACCATTAGCCATAGTGGAAAACGAATTTCGAATTTTCGTTCCGTGTGTTTTTGGTGTTTTTTTGTTTTTTGTCTAGCCAGGAATAACTTAAAGGATTAATTTTAGCTCAGAATTTTCACATTTAAAAGAACAGCCCGGTTTTTTAATCTCTTTAATGTCCATTTTTTTGTTTATTTTTATTATAAAGCGTGCTTAAATTATATGAAAGTTGTCTGTAAATAATGCGCAATTTTTTTTAGTTTATTTAAATATTATTGCTCAAACTAAAATAGCGCACGTTTTATTGCAGATGTCAAGGTTGCAAGATTAAATAACATATATTTATTTTATCTGAAAGCGCTAACCCTTTCTAAAGTGAAATTGTCGAAGCGCGGCACAATTAACACAAAGTAAAAAATTGCAATTTTTTCCCTCGTTTGATAATTAAACCATGCGACGCGTGTTTGCAATAAAGTAACTCTTGTGTGCTTTTCAAAGCTTTATATTTTTGCATACCTTTGATTTTAATATGTAGTTTATCACTTCCATTCAATAAATTACCTTATTTTAGTGCCAGCGCATAATTTAATAATTTTAATTAAAAAAATTCGATATAGGGCGGTCATAGAAATTACGAGATTTAATTAAAAAGTGATTTTTACCCGGGAAATGCCCAATGAATTTGGTGGTTTTATCTGGTTTTTAATTGTTTTGATGTTCAACTCGTGTTCCTTCAAATCTATATAAGCGTCTCATTTCTTAAAGAGGAACCAAACAAAACATTTTATAGTCGTTTGTGGTTAATATAATAGCATTTAACAATTTAAAATGATCAAAATTTATAAATTCCTTCATTAAAGCCCCCAAAATAAGCATTGAAAATTTAGTACTTTTCGATATCAGCCGCGCTCCTCGGTGCACACCGATCGTGACGTCACAAGCAAGGTCACAAATGATAACAAACAAAGGGAATCGCGGAAGAAAGTTTTCCGCAGAGGACTAGCGCGATTTATAAGAGGGACTTAACATTTCAAGCTACCTGAGGGCCAGAGTGGGGTCAGGACACAATTCCCGTGCGGTCGCCAGGCCCAGACCACCCCTGAATAAGTTGATTTCGATGAATAAAGGCCGATAGTGCGAATAAACTCGGTGCCGGTGCCGCCATGATGCACACAGCAACTGCAGGCTGCAGCACGGCGCACGCACCACAGCGGCAGTCGACGAAGGCGAGCCAGCGTCCGGCGAGAGCAACTCGTTTGATAGGTTTGATAGAGTTTTGCGCTAATGTATTATTTATTTAGACCGCGTTAAATTTAAGTATTTAAAATTTCAGCGTTGTTAGATAATTGTATACAGTATTTTTTGATATGCTAGTTTTAAAATAATTTTGGTTAGGAGCGGAGTTATTAATGTTTCCGCGAGAATTTTGTTCCGTCAATTTAAAAAATGGAGAGAAATTTTTAAAAATATAAACCTTAAAAGAAAAATGTTGCCAATTAAATTTCCTACAGTATCTTTCATAGGCCTGATGACGTCAGAATTATTTTTACTTATAAACGGAAGGCTCAAAGTCAAAATATAACTTAAAAACCTAGACAATAAATTTTTAGAATTTTTTAAAGATAGCCAATCGCTTGGAAATTTATTTTTTAATAAAGCACTGAAATTTCATATAAAAATATTCAGCCGTTTTTAAGCTGCAGATTGCTTTCTCAAACGCGCTCTGATGCCGCCGCTCGTCTTCGTCAGCAGTATGAGGTACCATCAAATATTATTTTCTTTTTTCAAAACTACATAATATTTTTAAATGAAATTTGAGAACACTGGTAAACATAAAATTTGCAATCGATTGGCTATCTTATAAAAATTCTAAAAAATTTTATTCTTAGTTAAAAAATTATATTTTGACTTGGAGCCTTGAGTTTATAGGTAAAAATAATTTTGACGTCATCAGGCCTGTGAAAGAAATTGTAGAAAATTTAATTGGCAACATTTTTTTCTTAAAGTTTATATTTTTAAAAATTTCCTTCTATTTTTTAAATTGACGGAACAAAATTCTCGCGGAAACGTTAATAACTCCGCTCCTAACCAAAATTATTTTAAAACTAGCATATCAAAAAATACTGTATACAATTATCTAACAACGCTGAAAATTTGACTACTTAAAATTAACGCGTTCTAAATAAATAATACATTCGCGTGAAAGTCTATCAAAAATAGCGGCACACGTTTCTTCGCTCTGGCTTGAGGCTTCCCTCCCTCATCTCCTCACGCCGTTCTCGTGAACGGCGGCGGCGGCGAGGCCTTGGCAAAGGAGACTCTAAAAACGAAGTACTTTTCGGTTTTCTCAAAAAATTACGTTGCGACAAGAGGTTTTCTGGTGCGCATTATGTAGCTTATTTATCAGGCTATTATTTAAGACGAATTTTAACAAAATCGAACCACAAGTTTTTTATTTACGGCGGTAAAACCCTTTTCACCCATAAGCCACAATGAAAATTTCAATAAATTTTTACGTTCTCCCTATAAGGAAGTGGATGTTGGCGTATGCTATTTTCTTTTTAATTCAGTTAAAAGATTTAAAATTTAAATCATCAAAGATTTCAATTTTTGTTTGGTTCCTCTTTAATTGTCGGTTATTTTCTCGAAGCGCCAGGGATAAATTACTTTCAAGACAAATAGCTAGATGAGCATGCATGTGTGCATTATTCGCTCCCTCCAAGGCTGCGAGGTAAAGCAGTGGCCACCGGGGTTCATGTTCAAGGCAGTCCGCTTTGGTTATGATCTGAGGTTGCACCAAGGATCTTTGGGTTGCACCGACTGCATTTTCCTGCAACTGATACAATTAATCTGCTTGAAGCGGATATAAATACGCAAATCAATCCGTTCTGTATCATTTTCAAAACCTTCAAATGTCAATAAACTTAAATTTTAATCCAATAAAATTATTTGTTTAAACTTTAAAGTAAAATTCGGCGTTTTCAGGTGTACCTTTTTGTGTTTAGAACGTTTAGAACATAAACGCAATGGAGGAGGAGGGTCTTAAATTGATCCTTTGGATCCTGCTCAGTTTTGCAGCACCAATGTGTAAGTACCAAATAATTAAATAAATAATTTACCAATAAATACACAACCAAAAGAAATGAATTGAAATTTTAACCTTGTTGAAAAAGGTCAAGCGGAAGTTTGAAACAGGTTTTTCTTGTATTATTTGCAACTAGAGGTGCAATTAGATTTCCAATTAAATAGAGATGTTTAATTTCACTAAGCAAATTGCTTCTTTCCATTTGTTTTCTTTGCGTTCTTGCACAATAAAAATTAAATTTACAATAAAAATAAATTAATAGAAAAGTAAAATTATTTTTCTTTGTATAAGGAAAGATATTCATTTTTTCCCTTTTTTATTAAATATATTTTATACTTGTCATATAAATAATTTCTTTTTAATTACACAGGCATGTGCTCGACAAGTAATTTTACAACACGAAGTATTCGCCCGCCGTTTGCGCTACCGCACAGCTTTTCCTCTCAGCAACCAAGTAGCAAACTATTGGGGGACATTTTCGGACTGCAGCCTCCGTTCGCACCGTGGGACAGCGCCAACGAAAAGTGCCGCGCCGACAGCGTCCGCTTCCTCTCCGCCGTCAAAAACTTGGAAATATGGGCTTTGAAAAGTGAGGATGATTTAAGTGAAAAATGAGCAGTTGATTTAATTTTTGATAGTGCACGATGCGACGGGAAAACTTGCTTCTGGTTTGCTGAACGGAAATTTGAACCAACTGGGTGACTTCGACCAGTGCCTGAGTGTCCAGAACAGCAAGTACTGCATGGCCAGGGCCTACCTGGAGCCCGTGAAGCACAATGTGAAGGACGATAATGTACTCGAACTGATGGAGTCGCACCGAATGGTCAAAAGCACGGCGTTTGATGTAAGTCCTGCATTGATTTTTATTCTAATGCCATATTTTTATTTAGCAATATCAATCATTCTTTTGCGAGAAATTAAGAATTCAAAAAGTGGAAATAAAATTCATGATGGAGTTTTATATTTTGTGTGATAAATAACAGAAAAAATTAATAACAGATTATAAGAGTAAATTTTTGAAAAAAAATCAATTAACATCAATTAAAATTTTAATTAACTTCAATCGGTGTTGCATTTCTTATTTGACCAATTAGTTTTAATCTTATTTTAAACTGTTAACATATTAATATTTTCTGTATAATTAAGACTAAAATTTTAATTATTTTCATTTACAGGGTGTCCGATTTTTCCCAACTTTTTCTGCGATTTCATGGGCTTTCTGCGTGCCCTCCTCTTGCAACTACGAGGACGTGCAAACTTCTTTGCGCAAATTGGCTCACCGCTACAACGCCTCGACCGAGGGCCTCCGCATCCACGTCCAGGTTGACTCGGACAGCTGCGTCGTCCGCCAGTCCGAAGGCACTTTCCGCAAGGGCCCCTTCATAACCATGTATATTATCCTTATTGCGATTTGTTTTCAGCTTTTTTCTTATTTTTGTCACTTTTAGGAGCATTCTTGTGGCCGTGGTCGTGTTTGCAGCCCTAGGCACATTTACGGACTTGCGACTCAAGAGAGAAAGGCTCGAGGGAAAAATTTCCGTCGAACACTTGCCTCGTAAATATATTTTTATCAGTTTAATTTTATATTTATTAATTCTTTAATTCAGCCAAAATCGATCGCTTCTTCCTTGCTTTTGCCTTGACGAGAAACACGACGGATTTGTTGAAAACGGACACCGCTTATGACGACATCAACTGCGTCCACGGCATCAGAGCGATTTTCTCTTTGATCATCTATCTCATCCACAGAGGCGTTTTTGGACTTTTCGTTCCCTTCACCAACAGGACTGAACTGGCAGAGGTAATTAAGAATTTTTGTTATTATTATATAATTTTTAAATTTTATTATAATTATTAAAAGTTTATTAAACTTAATTTATATTTCTTTAATTTGAAAATGTATATTTTCTAACAGGACTTTGAGGGAGCCTGGACGATGATTTTCCGCGCCTTTTTGAACAACGTTGACACATTCGTGGTGCTGAGCGGCCTTTTGACCTCTTACTACACCGTCAAGAAACTCCAGGCAGGCAAAAAGGTCAGCGTGGTGATGATGTACTTGACGCGCTACGTCAAGTTCACGCCGATTTTCGTGATCACCGTAATGATGGTCAAGGACATGGACTACTGGATCCAGAGTCCGCAAGTCATCCGCGTGGCCCAGCACTTTGTCAACGGCTGCAAAAACGGTTTTTGGAAGTCGTTCATCTACATGAACAACTTTGACGGGATGGACCACATGGTAAATAATTAATTAAAAAATTCTTTGTCTTTATTAAAAGTTTTACTTTCAGTGCTACCCTCCGTCGCACCAGCTGGTGACCGACATGCAAATGTACCTGGCGGCGCCCTTCATCATCCTGGCCATGTACAAGAGGCCCAAACTGACGACGGCCGGCTTGGGCGCGGTGCTGACCTTCCTGGCAGTGCTTCGCTACTTTGTGATCCACAAGTGGCACCTTTCGACCTTCATCTACCACGGCATCTCGCTGTCCCAGATGGTGGACGCGGCCGACCGCATGTACCTCAACCCCTTGCACAGACTCACCCCCTACCTCGCCGGCATCATGCTAGGGTACTTCCTCCGAGTCACTGGCCGCCGAAGCCTCTTGAGAAAGGTATTTCTAAACTTCTTCTTTTATTCATTTTTTATTGTTTTATAAAAATTTTAAGTGAAGGTGAAATTTGTACTTGAATTTAGTTGAAATTTTGGAGAATAATAAACTTTCTTTTTGATTATTTTAAATATTCAATTTATTTAATTAGGTAAATTGTAAAATAAGTTTATTAAAATTTTTCTTTTCTTTTTATCTCAGGATCAAATGTACGCCGGTTGGGCCATTTCTTTGCTCTGCGGCTACTATTCCTTCTTCGGACCTTCCGAGATCGCTGAGCGCGGTTACAAGTACCAGCCACACGACAGCGCCGTTTTCGGCGTTCTGCAACCTTGCTTGTGGAGCATTTGCCTTTGCTGGTGCATTTACGCCTGTTTCACTGGATATGGAGGTTTGAAACAGGAAAATTTAGAAAAGAAAAAAAATGATGAATTGCTTCTTTCAGGGCTGCTGAACAAGTTCCTCAGCTGGAGAGGATTCATTGTGTTCAGCAAACTCTCCTACGCTTTCTATATGGTGCAAATTCTGCTCATCTTTGGCGGCATCGCAACCGTTCGCACACCCCAGTTTTACAAAATGAACAGTGTGGTGAGTTATTTTGTTATTATAAAGTTTGCCAGTATATTTAGATCTAAATTTCCATAATTTTTGGAAATAATATTTTAGTGAAATTTATTTTTTTTTCTTCGACCTCATTTTTTTATAAGTGATTTGTAGTTTTATAGTTAACAGTGAACTCAGCTCTCACCATTCATAATTTAATTAATATCAATTATTTCAGTTATTAATTTTTGGCTTACAAATTCTCCTCAAAATTTAAAAACTGGGTTAAATTTTATTATTTTTGTCATATTATAGCTGTTTAAAAAATCATTGCAATGATTTAGGTATTTTTAATTGACATTTTATTATTTTATTTTTCAGTTTGATCTGAACGAGTTGTTCCTGTTGGTGGTGTGCAGCGTTGCGCTGACGCTGCTGTTCCTGTTGCCGCTGGCGCACGTGTTGGCGTTGGTGACCGGCGCCGACGTGCGCGCGGCCGAAAAGCAACAGGCCAACAACAGACGCTGCCAACCCCGCTCCTTCAGCATGGTTGAGTCGCGCTACCTGCGCACCCTCAACCCTGCCGAGCGACCCAAGCCGCAGCCGCAGAACAACCTGCGCTTCCGCGAAGGCTTCCTCGGCTTCCTGCACGACCAGGACACCAGGAAGATTTACTAAACGATTAAGACTGAAGTCAACTTTTGCGATCCTATTTATTTGAATAAATTTCCTTCCCATTTTTTGACACGGGCCTGTCGTTTTAAGAGACTCCCTTGACTGATTGAAAGAAAGATCTTTCTGCTCGATTTTGATGAAAAAAATATTTTAATTGCACATATATTTTTATTTAATATTTATGTAAATAGTTTTATGATAAGCACATTTTGTAATTAATAAATATTTGTACATTTTTATTTGCTTTGCTCTCAATGAAATAAAAATACTATAATCTTTAAATTATATTAAAATGCGTTGCTTTATTTTCATTTAAAAAAACCCCTATCTTTGAATTTACAGAGCGCCAAAGATAAAGAAATAAATTAAGTATCAGTCAGAATCTTTTTAAATTTCCTACTTTTTTGGATAGTATTTTCTCAGGTAATATAGAAAAAGCATAATTATTTTATTATTTTTCGTCTTTTTAATTTAAATAATCAAATAAAAATATGCTTTTTGAGGTCATCTTTGGTCTTTTGGTAAATTACGGATAATGAAATTTAGCCACTGTGCTGCTAACAAGTGGCGCGGATATAATGAAAATTGGCCACCCTGCTGCCGAATTGGCCGCCTCCGTGATAATCATCTCTGCAGTGCTAAAAGGCGTGATATCATGTGTTGATTCTTTTTGTGACTGCGTAGGGAACAAAGGTTATCTTTCCGGACACACATTATTTTATTTGACAGCGTCATCGAAATAGGAAATTCTGACTGACGTCACGGACAATCAGACCACAATTCGACATAACCGCAGCAAATGCGCATTACACACATGAGACATTCTTCCTCCAACGAAAATCCATCTCTTAAAATAACATGAACAATTAAATTCGGCTGATAATGATGTGGCGTCAATTAATTACAAAGAAAATAGGTCTCGGTTGAATTATAGATGAAAATAAGTTGGCACTAATATATGCAAGCAGGAGGAAAATATGTTTGCTTGGCTGAAAGGCTAATTGGTAATGCCCACTAAAAGCTGTCGCCGCGATGCATATAAACGCGTGTTGGAGGGGGTCTCGCGGCACAACACGCACTTTGGGCTTCCGAAATCATTATTCAACTCAACAGTCGTACGAGCAGAGGCGCCGGATTAACACCACTTTCCGTGAGTAACGAAATTTCTGTCTTAAAATTGAGAATCATTAATATTTTATTTTTAAATTTTTTTCAATTCAAACGCAATCATTGTTCCTTTTATACCAAAAAAAACATTTAAGTACCATTTCTTGCGCTGGTTTAAATTTAACAAATTTAAGTTAATTGTCATTTTTTTTCAAATTCAGTTTCAATTAATGAATAATAATTTAAAATTTATGCATTATAATCTCAATTCTCAATTACCATATTTATTAAACCCTAAATTAATTAGTATTTTTAACATTTTTAATTAACAAATCTTGTAAAATTATTTTTAAGATTGCAGCAGTAAAATTGATGAAGTTTTTTTTTCTGGAACAATTTTTTTTTATTGAATTGATCCTGATGATTGTGCAAGGTCGAAAAAAGTTTTCATGCGCAGCAACAAGAATTATTTGAGAGAGGACGACCAACATCTCCTTGCGCGGGTTCTCTTCTTTTGCTAGTTACACAAGTCGCGCGGCACAAGGTCGCAAGATTAATTTAAAATTTTTATGGGCGACAATCAACAAAGCATTCTTCTTTTCATTGTGCACATTTCCAAAGCAGCTTCTATTATTTTTAATATTTCGGCGCCTTATTTGTGTTTTTTTGCTCGGAGCTTCATTATATTTAAAAATTTAATTTCATAAAAATGAAATGGATTCGCGCTGCATCTCGATTATACTGACTGGATTACAGCGATAAGAATTTGCCCTTGAGGTTGTCAACATCGTAAAAATTTCCGCTTGAACAATTATTTATTTCGCTTGCAAAAATTTTATAAAAATGGTTTTTCTTTCTTCATAATAATTTTAAAGCAATTAAATAATTATTAAAAGCTTCAGAAGTATTAAAAGTGGTAAAATTTATTAAAATAATGAGGGTTTAATATTTTTTTTTAAATATTATATTTAACCCATATGTTTCAGACAAAATGAAGAACATTTTGGCTCGCGTGGCTCTCAGGAGCATGGTGCTCAAAACAAACTACAGTGCCAGGATGTCGCACACCGCTGCCAATGCACAGGTTGGTCTTTATCAAACTTTGTATTAATATTATTATTTAATATTTTTGCCCTGATGATGGTTTATCTTCTCAGTTTTTGATAATTTAAATACATCTTTAATGTCCTCATCTTTTTAAATCTTTAAAAATTCTTAAACTAAGCGTTTTTTTTTTTATCTAAACGTTCCGAGCTCCACTGCATAGGTGGCAACAGGCGCCAAAGAGTTTTTCGCTGAGGCTCTTTTTCTATTTTAGATCAGACATCATAGGATTGAGGTAGGTCTTAATAGAGTATCTGGCAAGGAGCCTCGCACAGCTCCGATACGATTGTAAATGCGTGAAATTCGCTTTGAAAGTGGCAGACAGACACACCGACCACATCCACGTCGAACAGTGCAATTATCCATTATAAGGAAAGCGCGCCGCGTGCAGTTTCTCTCAAATACAAAGCGCGTGTCGCGCGACTAACAGACGGAAATCGATATCGCAGTCAAATTTAGCTAGTTTCGCCCGAGAAGTTTGCCGCAGAGTTTACTAACTAGGTTTATTAAACTCCTACCTTTTGTCGCAGAAGACGCAGGCAAAGATGCAGGCGAAGAAGCAGCTGACCTCGGACGAGGTCATGCACCGCGAGGAGCAATACAGTGCCCACAACTACCATCCGCTGCCAGTGGCCATCTGCAGAGCAAAAGGTACACAAATTTAATCATAATTTCAACCCAATAAAGGCCCTTCTAACTAAATTTTTGAAATTTATAAGCAAACACAAAGTTTCATGAGCAATTTATTAAAAATAAAAACAAAAGTTAAAAAAGGATTCAAACAAAAAAATAAAATAATTTGCGAAATTTTCTATTAAAATAAAAATTGCAGGTGTCCACATGTGGGACGTGGAGGGTCGCGAGTACTTGGATTTCCTGAGCGCCTACTCGGCAGTCAATCAAGGTCACTGCCACCCCCGTATTTTGGCCGCCCTGCAGGAGCAGGCGGCCAAGCTCACCCTCACCTCCAGAGCCTTCTTCAGGTATGAAACTTTTTTGTTTTCCTATGTTTATATTTTTCTTTTTGATAAAATCAAATAGTGACATGCTGGGCGAGTACGCTGAAATGGCGACAAGCCTGTTCGGATACCAGAAGCTGCTGCCGATGAACACCGGGGTGGAGGGTGGAGAGACGGCGTGCAAGTTGGCCAGGAAGTGGGCCTACACCAAGAAGGGAATCCCTGAGAACCAGGCCACCATCATTGTCGCCGAGGGAAACTTCTGGGGCCGCACCCTTGCTGCCATTTCCTCGTCCACCGACCCCTCCAGCTACAAGGGATTCGGACCATTCATGCCCGGCTTTAAACTGGTGCCCTACGATGACCTCAAATCCCTTGAGGTGAGAAAATCAAATTAGAACCAAATGATTATTTATTTATTCTAAATATTGAAATTTATTTCACTAGTTAAAATTGTTACTTTAGGGAAGTTTTTTGTATGGAAATATTAGAGAATTTGAAAAATTGACAGGAGGCGCTGAAAGACCCGAACGTGTGCGCCTTCATGGTGGAGCCGATCCAGGGTGAGGCGGGCGTCGTCGTGCCCCAGGACGGCTACCTGAAGGGCGTGCGCGAGTTGTGCACCAAATACAACGTCCTGTGGATCGCCGACGAGGTGCAAACCGGTCTGGCAAGGACCGGTCGCCGCCTCGCCGTCGACCACGAGGGTGTCCGACCGGACATTCTGATTCTTGGCAAAGCCCTCAGTGGTGGATTCCTGCCCGTGAGTTTTAATTAAATATTTCTAGTTAATTTAAGTACCATTTTTCAAAATGAGTATAAATTTAAAAAAAAAAACATCTTTTCAATCATGGGTCTATTTTAAAAAAATAAATGCTTTAAAATATTATTTCCTCTAAATTAAATGTAAAAATAATTTTCATCTTAATAATTTTGACAGGGGAGTTCACATTAAAAAATATTAATTACAATTAATGCTTTGTCAAAATTATTTTAATAGTTTTATAATTTAGCAGAATAAATTTAAAACAAATTTTTTAATTTTTTAATTAAAATAAAAGCGTAGTAAATCATAAGAAGATGAAAAAATGAATAGATCTAGAAAATAGATTAAACCACACAGTCAAAAATTATCTTCAAAATTTATAATCAATGATTTAGGCAAGTGCTGTTCTGGCTGACGACGAAGTTATGCTGTGCATTCAACCTGGAGAGCACGGCTCGACCTACGGCGGAAACGCTTTGGCCTGCAGAGTGGCCATGGAGGCCCTGCATGTGCTCGAAGATGAGAAACTGGCCGAGAACGCGAACCGCCTGGGAGAAATCTTCAGGAGCGAACTGAGGAAGCAGCTGCCCTCCGACCTGGTCAGCACCGTCAGGGGCAAGGGCCTGCTCAACGCCATCGTTATGAACCCAGGTAATAATTTGATGAAAAAATTAATTTGTAAATGAAATGAATTGATTTAAAACAAGAAATCGATGCCTGGGAAGTTTGTCTGCGCATGAAAGAAATGGGACTTTTGGCGAAACCGACTCACGGCCACATTATTCGACTGGCACCACCCTTGGTCATCAACGAAGCGCAAATCATGCAGAGCATTGAAATCATCACCAAGGCTGTCCTCGCTTTCAGAAAATAATGGTATTTTATCCCCCTACATATATCGGCAATCAAAATTGGTTAAAATTTTAATGTCAAAAATCTAAATAAATATTTTTACTAAAAATTTCATTGAATTATCATTTTAACACAAAACAATTATGGAATATTATCATATAACTTAACAGGTATAAAAAATTTTAGAAATTTATAAAGCATTTATATTGTTCAAAATTAATCAACATCAAAATTAATATCACTTTTCCTCAATTTACAAAATGAAAGAAAATATTTAATGGTTGCATAGATTTACAAAAAATTGAAAAAAAAACTCATTATTCTAATATGAAGCAAAAATGTTTTGGTACCAAATCTATGAGAATGCATAGCAAATATGTTGCTCAAAAATAAATTATTAAAACCGCATAGAAATTATAAATTAAAAAGAAAAAAAATAATTGAAATTTTTGTAAACATTATTATATACTTGCCAAAAAAATATAGAACTGATCGGAACTGATTATACAAATACGAATCACATCATATCATAATGTTATTTGATAATATAATGTAATTTACGTAATTAATCATATATAAAGCGATCGAATTGTTCAACAGATTATTTAGATAGAGTATTTATTGAACACAACTAGGTGTACAACGGGTGTCTAAAGCTAATTTGTCTTCCTAAAATTAATTTTACAATTAAGCTTGTTTCGATAATTATTACAAAGTACAAAATTAGTTAATTTTGATTTTTGCAGCCTCTCTTAGGCTTAGTTTACGTTCATTACATTCAAGAATATGATATTGTGAACATTTCTTACCGCAGTGCTTGCATTCACAATCTATTGTCGCTTGAGAATGAAAATGTTTATTCTTACAAAATAAATAGTGGTACCCGTGACAGGCAAATCTCGTAAACACTTGGCGATCACTGAACATTGCACATTGCCAATTTTTATTCTTCATAGTTTCTGTCTCGTAGAACTCATCACATATCTCAAGTTTGTTTAAATATTTAGACATACAAAATTTCTGGAATGCTTCAGTTTCAGTTAGAGAATATTTTACCTGTAAGTCCGATACAAAGAGATCAGTGTCAACTAATTCATACACAAATCTAGATCTAATATACTTGGACAGTCCTAAAACTCTTTTTAAATATCTTGTTTTGACTTTTTCAAGATTTTCAAAATCAGTCTTTGTTAGGAAAGGCCATATTTCTTCAATGCCGTAGGACGCAATTGGGGAAATTTTTAGATCAAATAGCTTGTGTGCTGTTTCAATGGATAATTGTTTTAGTTCTCGTATATTATAAGTGGCCAGCAATGCAGCTCTTGTTCTTTTTTCAATGTGCTTTCCAAAAGAGATTCCTGATGGTTGAAAAGTAACTCCTAAATATGTAAACTCAGCAACTCTCTCTATTTCAATTCCACCTAAATCTAGGCGGTCACTTAATGCATATTTTCCTAGACCCTTATTTCTGAATTTCATGAATTTGCACTTTTCCAAGTTAAGTTTCAAACTGCGTTTTAACAAAAATTCTTTCATTCTGGCTAAAGCAATTTTCAAGTCACTTAATTTTTCTGAGGTTAAAACAATATCATCTGCATAATAAATGGCTTTCACGTTTGGCAAATCTCGTAGAATATTATTTATATCAGCTAAAGAGTAATTGAACAGAAATGGGGACGTGCATCCCCCCTGTCTTACCCCATTTGATTGTGTAATAAGTTTTGATACTGTTACTCCATCTACTAATCTCAAGAAATTTAAGTCTAAGTTGTGAGCTAAATAATTTAACTCCGTGAACGTTAGCTTCTTGCTTTCTATTAACTTCTTAAAAATAAACGCCCTATCTATTGAGTCAAAAGCTTTACTTACATCCAAAAATAAGGCATATAAGGGTGATTTCTTCTTATAAACTGTCTCTTGAATGTTATTAACTAAGGACTTAATTGCCTGTAAAGTGGATTTTCCTTTCACAAAACCATATTGATTGCCTGGAATCTCGTGAATCAAAGATGAGTAGATACGTGCATGCAGTACACGATCTAACAGATTGTAAAAAGCCGAACGCATACATATTCCTCTATATGAATTTGTATTTTCCGCGTCCCCTTTTCCCTTATACAAGAGTTTTAGATTTGACTGCCTCCATTCCTCTGGACATGTTCCTAGCTCCAAGCATTTGGTGAAAAATAGCGTTATTTCGGGGAGTAAGGATTCAACAAGTAGTTTAATATTTTCATTCTTCACTTTGTCAGGTTCAGGGGATTTCCCGTTTTTCATTTTCTTTAATGCTAACAAAACTTCTTCTTCCATAATAGGTGAAAAATTTATATCATTTCTGTAATCTACTATCATCTCTTTCAGATTTAACGATTCATTTTCACTCAATTTTTTCTCGTTGAAAATTTTTTCAAAATTGCACTCCCATTCATCCATCATTATATTGTTTGTATTGTAAAAACTTTTGCTCAACTTGAGAATTTTATAGCACTTGTTCTGCTCCGCCTCTTTTAAAATGTCCAACTCCTTCATTTGCACAAAAGCGTTCTTCTTCATTTCACACATATTTTTGTAATTTCTTTTTATTGCGGTATAGTGCGGTAATAGAATCTTGATTATACTAGTTACATTTAAACTTTCAGCCACTTCCAAGCACTCTCTCCATTCGTTCAATTTCTGTTTTAATTCGTAGCATTCAGAATCAAACCACGGTTGACTAATCCGTTCAGTTTGCCTACGAGGAATGTCGGCCTCTTTCATAATATTTATCATATTTTTATAAAAATTGAAAATTGGCAGCACTGCTTCGGTAAGGAAAACACTGGTTTAGGAGGGTCGTGTGTCTAATTTCGCCTTTTTTCCCTGAGTTGAAGGCCATGGCATCTGCACATGTGCCGTGGAGGTCACCACAAGGGTACGCTGCCCAGCCACCCATAAATTGTGGCCCTTCTTACGGACATACAGAAAATAGAGCAAAATTCCATCATCCAGCATGGCCCGAAGGAACTCCACCCACCCCCGGACAGGAGATGGCGCCAAACCCTCTGCAAAATGGAAACAATGGACCAGTTCTCAACTCAGGAGGTTTTGGACAGACTTACGCAGGAGGTCCGGCTCCTCCGGGAGCTGTAGTAACGTTGGAGGAAATCATTCAGCGTGTTTTCCAGCATGTCACGCTGCAATTCTCAAATCAGCTCAAAATTCAGAATGACCAACTTGGCGAAATGTTCAGTAAAACAGTATCTTTGATGCAGGAGGAATTCGAAAAGGAACGTTTGTCCTGGAAGGAGAGAGATGAGAAGCACGAGGCTAAGCTGAGGGAGCTTGAGCGGAAGGTCCTTTTCTACGAGAAGAATGCAGAAAATGAGTCGAGCGGTACAGATAACAGACGGAGGCAATTTCACGGCAGGTATCAGAGAGGTTATTATCCACCAATTGCTCCTCTGACAAAGGCTGATGACACACCCTGCGTGAACCAATACATCGATCGCTCTGCCCAACTCGATGAGGCCCTGAAGAATGATGAGTCGCTCGCAGTGGAGGGAGCCAAGGTCAAGTTTGTTGAACATCAAGGGGTCAGTCTACTGGATGCCAAGCAAGAGATAAAGGCACACGCCATAGCCTCTGATCTCTGGACCAGCATGGGGGCTGCACAAGAGGTTACGGCGGCGGTGGGCAAACCGAAAGCGGAGCCGGGAAAGACTGAAATAGGCGGAATCATCAGAGAGAAGACTGAAAAGTACGGTACTGTGTTTCACGTGGTAACTAAAATGAGGTCCCCCCACAAGTTGCACAAAGCACCTGAGCCTTTCCTAAAGGGAGTGAAGACTGCATTTGCTAAGCTGGCCCAAGTCATTCGAGAGGAAGAGATTGATGAGATTGCAATGACCTACATGTGCAGTGGCATGGACAGGCTGCATCGCCTCTGGGTCTTGGACACTCTGTACGAAGAACTTCGAGATGTCCCTGTCACTGTTCATCTGTACAACAAGTATGTCTCCAAACGCTGGGGAAACTGTGGGAATTTGTTCAACCCAAAGGAGGCCGGAGAGGAAGAAGAAGAGACTGGAGGGAAGCCGGATGACGGAGAGCAGCTAAATGATGCCCCTAATTCGCAGACTGTTGCACCCAGGGAGAGAAGCAAGCGCAACTGTGGTGCTCGTGAGAAACTTTCTTTATAGATTTCCCTTGTCGAAACAGCGACGTGAGTAACTTAAAATTAGGGCTTTGGAATTGTGAAGGGCTTACGAAAGCATATGAATCTCCGATTGCAACAGAACTGCAAAATTATGATATTCTTCTTTTCACGGAAACATTTTTAAAGAAACCACTTCACATTCCTGGTTTTTATTCAAGGCAAGTTTTAGCTTCACAAAAGGAGGCAGGGCGACCGATGAGGGGAATTTCCGTGTATTTTAATTCTAGGTTAGGAAATTTACTAAATGTGAAATATTTGGAAAACTTCATAATTCTAAATTTTGATGACATTACAGTAGTAACATGCTATTTAAATCCGAAGATACGTTCTACAACAGTGACTAATGAACTTCTCTCAATCCTTAAATATGTTGAAAATTTTGAAAATTTCATTTTGGCTGGAGACTTTAATTGCCGACTGGATACTAAAAACAGAAAAATTGACTCGCTGCTTGATTTTGCTGAGGAAAACAGTCTGACAATAGTAAATGAATATCCATATAAAAGTACCTACGACTGTAGTAATGGTCATAGTGTGGTTGATTTAATCTTCAAAGGGCCAAAAATTTACACCGAAAATTTTAAAATTTGCCCAACCATAAGAAAACATAATTTTATTTCAATAGAATTTAATTTCACAAAACAAAAGAACCGAAATGGGGACATGTCTTTGAATAAGAAAAATTTTAAATTAGATGAAAACATACTTAAAGAGCTTATTGAGACTAAATATAAAAATATTCTAAGAACAAATCTGGAAAAGGGGGACGTTGAAGAGTTTTATAAAAATATGATAAATATTATGAAAGAGGCCGACATTCCTCGTAGGCAAACTGAACGGATTAGTCAACCGTGGTTTGATTCTGAATGCTACGAATTAAAACAGAAATTGAACGAATGGAGAGAGTGCTTGGA